TGTTACTTCGTTATTAAAGCAGAAGAATCTGGTTGTTCGTACTGCTCAGTGGGCTTTGAAGCTTCAGATATATGATTTTGATGTTGTTCACCGCCCAGGGAGTTCTATGGCTGATGCTGATGCCCTTTCTCGAGCTCCTCTTCCTTCTTCACTCTCTTCTCATGTTTCTAATGAGCTTGTCGTTCCAGCATCTGTGGATTTTCTAGACGAGGATTCTGTGCCGTCGGTGGTTGCTATCCTTGATGTTCAGTGTCCACAAGGTGCAGAGCAAGATCTACCTTCGCTTGATGAGGTTCGCGAGGCTCAAAAGATTGAGCCATGGATTGGAAGGTTTCGAGATGGGTTTGAGAATCCTACATCACTTGCTAATGACTTGCCTTTCCTGCATTTACATTCTCAATATCGTCTTGAAGATGGCCTTCTTTATTTTGTGGGGACAGATCCTGATGATCATTTACGGCTGGTGGTGCCTTCTATCTTTATTCCACGGTTTCTCCATGCCTACCATGATTCTCCTGTTCTAGGTGGGCATATGGGACATCGCCGTGTAATCGAGAAGCTACACAGGTCTTTCTATTGGCCAGAGATGCGACGTGATATTATTCGGTATGTGCGTAGCTGCATTTGGTGCCAAGCTCGTAATATTCCCCCTCGGGCTGCCGAAGGATGGTTAGAGTCAATTGCAGTTTCTCGTCCATTTGAGTTGGTGGTGTTTGATCTTATGGGACCTTTTCCATGGTCGACTGCTGGCAATGAGTATGTTATTATTGCTTCTGACTATTTGACTCGTTGGGTGGAAGTTGGTGCTCTTGCTAACGCCTCTGCAACTGCTGTTGGATACTTCCTCCTCAATCGAGTGGTGTTCCAACATTCTTGTCCAGAGCGGATTCTTTCGGATAATGGTCCCGCATTTATGGCTGAGGCATTTCATGTTTTGACGTCTCGGTTGGGGATTCGCCACACTTTCACGAGTGCTTATCATCCACAATCAGACAGTCTGGTGGAACGGCTCGTTCAGACGTTCAAGGGGATGATTGCAAAGTATGTGAACTTTCAGCATTCGGATTGGGATGGTTATTTGCCGTCTCTTCGGTATGCATATGTCACTGGGGTGCAGAGTTCTGTTGGTGCTTCACCATATAAACTCCTATATAGTCATGATCCAATATTACCAACGGAGCTAGATTTACCTTCGTGATTGCCACGAGCTGCGGATGCTAGGTCATAGGATCAATATTTGACTAGCATTTTTCCACTTGTCCGAGCGGAGTCTGCCGAACACTTAGGCCGCGTACAAGTGGGACAACAACGGCACTACAACTCCCATCATCGTCCACATGCGGAGTACAAAGTGGATGATTTGGTGTTAGTCTGTTTTCCCCATCTTACGGTACGTGGTTTATTTAAGGGGCTCCTTGCACAGTGGAAAGGACTGTATCGGGTGTTGCGGCAAGTTAGACCACAAGTTTATGAGGTTCGGTATGATGTCCAGCAGGCCGATCCTCCAGAGATTGTGCATATGCAGCGGTTGAAACGCTTCATACAAAAGGATTAGGAGCGGTTAATACCATCTACAGATCCGCCGATGCCTCCTCTTGATGTTCCTCCAAATCCCAGCCCGTCTACAAGAGAACCCTGATGGTCTTCCATTATTCCGAGAGGAGGGGATGATGTGAGGGCAAAGTGTATGATTATGATGCCGTATACTAATATTAGCGTAGTGGGATTTTGGTAGCCGTCGGATTGGTTTCAATCCGGACCACTCGCTCCTGTATATAAGCTAGGGTTTTTAGGCTAATTGAATATGCACATTTCTGTATTCCCTTTCCATATTCCATGCACTCACAGAATATTATTCTTACATAAAATTCTAATTTAAATATATGTATTTAATGGGTGTAATATTTTTAAAAATATATATTTAATATATATAAAGGTTTTATTTTGGTCACAAAAACATAGAGTCCAAAATGCGATGCTGATAAGTTTGTGTATGGTGATTTATAGTTTGCCAATTTAATATGCATGAGGTGGGCAAAATTTCCAAAACTAGCAAATAATGTAACCTTATTTAATATATTTCTGTTTTTTTGTGAAAGCTTTATTTTGAGGTAATTTTTTTATTATATTATATTTATATACTTAAAAATTAGAAGTAAAAAATGTAATTTCCTTTAATTTAAAAGTTTTATACTCTTGTTTTATATATTAAATCATATATATATAAAAATATTTTATATATATATATATATAATTTTAAAATCTCAGCATTAATAAATATTTATTATTTCAAGGGGCTAAAAAACATATTTGAATTGCAATTCATAACTTTGTAATAAATAATGAGAGTAAATTGCCATAGTATTCTCCTATAAGAAAATCTAATATAAGAACAACAATAATTTAGTTTTTGGCTTATAAAGTTAAAACATTAATTACCAACTCAATGCTTAAAAATATTAAAGTTTTATTAGGTGCTATGATACTTAAATTTCTTTTTTCTTTTTTTTCATATTATTAATAAAGTGAGTTGAATGTGAGGTGTCTCAGAAATGTGCGCTAGTGCCTGTAGAATGTGATACAGCTCGGCGGTACTTGTACCATCTCGCACAGATGAGGTAGAGCACCAGATTCGCAGACGACACCACCGCCAGCAGCCAGTAGAAATCATCCAGTCGGCTGCGATTCAGATTATTGGCGATCCATCCGCCGCTGCCGCCGCCCCTGGTGACACTGTCCACCACCGATACCAGAAAGCTGCTGAGGAAGAACCCTAGCGAGATGGTGCTGAGGAACAATCCCACTCCCAGGCTCTGCATCCCATCCGGCGATTCGCGGTAGAAGAACTCCAACTGGCCAATGTAAGTGAAGGCCTCGCCTATCCCAACCAGCACGTACTGTGGGAGGATCCACAGCACGCTCATTGGAACCGGCACGTCCGGTGAGTCGAGTAGCTTGTTCTCTCTCGCGATTCTAACTCGTCGCCTCTCGACCATGGCAGCCACCACCATCGCCAGGATCGCCACCACCAGACCCACGCCGATTCTCTGCAGCGTCGTGATTCCTTGAGGATGGCCCGTGAGCTTTCGCATCAGAGGTACGATGAAGCGATCGTAGACCGTGACTGTGACCATGATGGTGGCGAACAGGAACGCTGCCGAGGACGCTGACGGGAAGAGGAAGCTGCCCATCTTTCTGTCCATCTTGGAGCCTTGGACGACCGAGAAGGTGAGCATCTGAGCGTAGACTGTGTAAAAGGTGATGGTGGTGGCCCAGATTGGGAGTAATCTAAGCACCATCTTGACTTCTTCGATCTGTGTTACGGTGCACAGCCTCCATGGCTTTGGATTCTCGTCGTAAATCTCGTCGTCGCTGGGTTCTAGAACCGCGGCCTTGTCGAGGAACCTGTACTGATAAAGCTGTGAGCGCAAGTTGGCGGGGCAAGATGACAAAACGACCAAACTCATATAAGTGGAGGTAACTTATCTATGACAATCTATGTGCTAGAATGCTTTGTCGTGATGATAGTAGAGGGACTGGACTAAGCAGCGGGGGTTTTACTTCTTTGCTTGCTCTCAACGAACTAAACTAAACTTAACGTGTTCTTCAGCGGACAGGAGAAGAAAGCAAAAGACGAGCAACCAAAGCAAAAGAAGCAGAGGAAGCAGAAAAGGATGGAGTTCACGTGCCTGAATTGATTTGTGTGCCTGGCGCTCTGGTCGCTGGCTGGATCTTCAGCATCTTTGCCAGGGCCAAGTGACCCATACAAAGAACTTTGGTCCCGGGGGAGCTCCAGCTTGTGCTTCCTGACAGCGGCTACGACAACTTTCGCGATGCGAGTTAAGGGGCTTCCTGACGGTGCCTTGTAGCGGTACATGCGCGTCCCGGCCAGGAAAATGACGATGGCGAGCAGCATGGCAGCAGCGCAGATGCCGTATCCCCAGCCTCTGCCGACGTTGTCCTGGATGTAGACGAGCACGGTGAGGGAGAAGAGAGCTCCCACCGAGATGGAAACGAAGAACCAGTTGAAAAAGTAAGACATGAGCTTCTGCTCCTTCGGCTCGTTCTTATCGAACTGATCGGCTCCGAATGCAGAGACGTTGGACTTGATGCCGCCGGTTCCCAGTGCGGAGAGGTAGAGCGCGAGATAGAGCAGGCTGAGCTGCTTGGCCTTCGCGGGAGGGCAGTCGTGGACGCAGTGAGGAGGCCTCAGTGATGGGAGTGAGGTGAGAATGGTGAGAACAAGCATTCCCTGCAAAAACCACGAATCATTGTTTTTCAGCTTCTAACTCTGTAGTTCTTCAGATTACCAGGAACTGGATTGTTGCAGCGATAGCGACGGTCCAGAACCGGCCGATGTAAGTATCGGCTATGAATCCTCCCAGAAGGCACAACATGAAAGAAGTACCCAGGAAGTTCGTGACGATGTTTGGAGCTTTGGTGTTGGAGAGGTGCAGATCGTTGGTGAGATAAGTCACCAGATTCGTGGCAACACCCAGCGTCGTCATTCGCTCGCAGAGCTCCGGTCCTGTTACGGAACCAACAGCGAAACTTAAGAGAAAACTTTGAACTACATACCGAAGACCAGAACGGCTCGTTTCCATCCGCCGGTAGCGGACCTGATGGCGGGGTTTCCTTTGTGATCCAAGGATCCATCTCCTACAACCTCTGCCATGACTGCACGAAAGCTGCGAAAAGCTTAGAATCAAGGAGTGAGCCTCGGAACTTTCTTCTAGCGGACGAGAAGTGATAGACTACGGGAGAAACTAATCTTTGAGGTAGCCTTCGCCTATACACAGTACAGGTTCTCTTGGTTTTTTCGCCGATTCTATGTGTTTCTTACGCTCCAGACCAGGATTGACGAATTTCAAGGTACTCTATGACACAATGAGTGTGGTGATGAGTTTGCTCGAGCGTGGAAGCAGTTTGTAAAAAGCAGGCAAGGACAAGCTAGCAGGACTCTCTTTCTCTCTTGCTCGACTCACACGCTCGCTCAGTGTTGTAGGAAGGAGTGGAAGACACGCTTTATATTGCTGGGGATGGGGAATATCTATCACAGGATGTTGATCCCGAGGTAATTGGAGCTTTGTTTATAGATCACGATAATTATCAGGCTGATGACTTTGTAGATGCCGAGCTGTTCAATCATATCGCACCGAAATCCTTGACTGGGGATAATCAGATCACACCTACAAGTTAATTTGGTAAGCGTTCGTTTTCATTGAAAGCTAGTTTCTTTCTCTGTGATAGACACTGGACGAAGGATTCGTTGGTCCTCTGGCGCTGGAGCTCGAACTTTTGCCATGGACGAATCCAGAGAAGGAGAAATCTATAAAACGACCGAATTTGTAGTCAATTTCAAGCACTTCCATTCTTTCTGCTCTCCAGGCACGTGTGAAAGTTCTTGCTTTTGGTTCTCGACTTTCGGACCCACAGCGCAAAAACGTTCATCCCTTCTCTTTTCATTCGTGGCTGCTATCTCGCGCAGAAAGAAAACGTCCCAAACAAAAAATCCTACGCAAAAAGTTGGCATTTAGTTCCATGAGCCCTAAGCCATGAAACCCTAATAAACCTCGCAAGAAAGTCACTTAGAGAGAAAAATTGGAAGCATTCCCTTGTCCTTGACATTGGAGCCAAATCTCTTTCGAACTTGGGCGTGATCATCTTATCTTGAGGAATCTTGAGGAACACTACAGTGGAATTGTCTCTTGAGATCCAAAGGGTTCTTCGCAAGCCAAGTCGTGAGCTTAAAAAATGGAAGAGCCCAGCTCGTGAATCCACGATCGAGATTCCAGAGCGGCTTACGACGGGAAGCCTGTCCATGGATTTGGGGACATCCAATGCATTTTCCGGAGCATTTTAATCTTCTCTGTTCCTGAGAAACAATCTAAACGACGGAAAAATGTATAGTAGTTTTGGACATCAACTTGATGGAATGGGTTTTGATACCGTTTCCAAGCAAGCCATGCCAAACTCTCCCCGATTGAAACTCACCACCTCTCGGGATTGTTTGGAGGGCGCTTTCTTTTCTGGTTAAGCCATCAAAACTTGGCTTGTCTCCCTCGCTCAAAAGGACCCCACTCGAATAAAAGGAACTCTAAACTTCCTCTTAGTTCGTGCGGTCTCGTCGTCGATATATCATTTCTCCAACTCGAGAGTTCATGATCGATAATCAATGGCTCCAACATCACAAGCACACAGGCTAATCATCGCCCAGGGAATGATTATCGAGCAAAAAATGGATTTTGAGACCGGAATTCTTTTAGCAAAGCGATGCATTTTTAGTGGAGGGACTCTCTTCCTTCCGTTCCAACTAGGGCACTTAAAAAGCTTTTGCTGTTTGGCAATGGCTCTGCATCTCCACTCTCCATATATTTCTCTCGATCGAGGCTTTGCATCTTTTTTTCTAGATTTTGATCCAATCGAGCTAGAAATCTGAGAGAGAGAGAGAGAGAGAGAGAGAGAGAGCATCAAATTGTGTAAATTTCTTGAGTAGGAGTTTTCTTCTTTCTTTCATTTGGATGCGATGGGAAGATCTAGCAAGTGGCTCTCGCTGGTCAGGAAAGCCAAGGCTTTTGTTTCACTCAAGGGGCTCAAAGGATTCAAGAAGAAACTGGGCGATACAAATGGAATCCTCCTGGTAAGCTTTCTTTCGAGTCAATCGTAGTCATTCTTCTTGATGATCTACTACTGGTTGATAGGTTCACGAAAAGAAGAAAGAGCTGAATTCCAATGGTAAGATTTTGGAAGAGAAAAACGAGGCCCAGCAAGAAGCTGTAACAGAGGAATGTGTTATAGTGCCACCATCCAATTCTCCTCCTCCCAATTCTCCCGAGAATTTAGAAGAGAATGTGGCTGACTCCACTCCAACGCCGGAGAAATCCCAGGAGGAATTGGCAGCAGTGAAGATTCAAGCAGCATTTCGTGGGGTCGCAGTAAGAAAATTCGTATCAAAATGAGATTTTTATCAGTGAATCTTTGTACCAGGCGAGGAAGAAAGTGAAGGCGATGAAAGCCTTGCAGAGGCTCCAATCCATGCTGCATGGAAAGGCGGCGAGCAAGCAGACCTCTCACGCAATGCGATGCATCCAATCCTTCGCGAAGATGCAATCCCAGGTACGATTGGAGCGAGCCAGATTCCGAAACCACCCTGGCGAGCGAAAAGAAGACCAAGAAAAACAAGAGGTGACGTTTTCTACCGCGAAAGAAAGAGATTTTGGGCAAAGATATCACAAGATCTCTGGATGAACAGGAAGAACAAGTTGGCGATTGGGACGACAGCATCCTGTCCAAGGATCAAATCCGCGCAAAAATTCAAAGCAAGAACGCAGCAGCAGCGAAACGCGAGCGCACTCTGGCCTATGCCTTCTCACACCAGGTAAGAAACAAGAAAAGAGAAGAAAGAATCCAATTTTATTCCCTTGGAACCACACTGTCTTGTAGCTATGGAGGTCGTATCCCAAAGACGCATCACCGCCGAGTTCTAGCAGTGACGACGATGACAAGCCTGCCTGGAGTTGGAGCTGGCTGGAACAGTGGATGACTTCCAGATCCTGGGAGAGTTTGGAGGAACCCAAGGCAGGGAGTAATTCTCCTGCGAGGCTACCGGCAGTGATCCAAAGCCCCGGGAGAAGTAAGCAGCAAGTTCCAGCTTCTTACAAGAAGATCGTCGCCGACATCCAGCCAAAGTTCGCTCCGGGATCGCCAAACACGAGGTTTGGAGTCCAAGCCCAGCGGAAGTTCTCGTCGATGTCGTCGCCCAGCAGGATCCAAGCCCAGGCGAAATCTGCCAAGGTTCACAATGATAGCAGCGAGGAGAAATCCATAGCGAGCATCAAACCTGGCAGCTTGAAGCACGAGTTTGCTGCTCCAGAGGGAATCTCTTCTCCGGTGGATACCAGGAAGATGAATCGAGCGCTGCTGGGCAAGACAAATGGAAGTATAGGGAGCAGTCCTGGACGATCGCCAAGAGTTGGTAAAAGGATTCCATAGCTCTGTAAAAGCGGGAGATTTAAAAATTTGAAAATCTGAAAGCACACCCACCGGTGAATCTGTGACATAAACTTGGATGACACGAACCAAAAACTTCTTTCTCGGCGACCAAAACACTTCTTTCTTAGCGGCCATTTGAAAGAAATAGCTTTGCCAGATCCTCGCGTGTGCATTCTAGGTGCATGGAAAAATCACAACATCTCTGATCACAAAATCTGCGACGGTACAACCAAATTAGCACCAGAAACAAGAAAAAGAGGCAACTGTACCAGTTCATATGGAAATCCATCTCAACTCTCCATTGATTTCCCGGATCCCCTCGGAATGGAAAACACAAGAAGTCAGCTTAGAATATCGCTGCGGAAGAGCCATTGGCAAATCTACAATCACATGTGCATACATTCCGGCCTCCATCCACTAGGCGTTGTGCTCGTCGGATGTGCAGCCTTATCGACTGCAGCTTTCCCGCGACCTGAATGGAAAAGCCTCAAACACCGACAGTGCAAGAAATTTTGCGTACCGTCTGCCAAGTTAGATCTTCGGGACCAAGTTGCTGAGCAGGGCTCGAGTACTGGAAATGTCTCGAAAACTGCAAATAGTATCCATAACGAAGATATGAAGATATACCATATTCAACATACCTCTAACATATGACCCCGTAGCATTGACAACTGTCGAGCAGTAATGGCTCGCAGGTAAGACACCAGCCATCCCTTTTCAGTTGTTTTCACCGATGGAACAAACAGAGCAACCTGGAAAGGAAGATTGTTCTCAGCAGCGAAGAAAAGGCTTTGAGGTTGATTTACCTTGCGATAATCAACAAGTCCTTCGAAAGGTGGTTCGAGCTCGTCACTGACAATCACAGGAATGCAGCCACTTACTATCGCATCGAAGAGCCGTGCTGATGAAGGCGTGTCACCAGCGGGGCTTAAGCAGAAAATGGAGCTGTCCACGATTGTAAAGGTTAGAGGATCGAACAGAGGAAGGAGAAAATACCTCCGCATCCCCTTTTGAGTCGCCCGTCTTCCAGCCTCACCTATTGATCCTTCTTCAATGATAACTCCAGCTTCGTTCTGAAGAGCTGCTGCAAGTTTACTTCGAATCTTTCCACCCTGCAGCAAGCAAACAGCTTCAAGGACTTAGCATTCAGCAAGGCATGGGAAAAAAACTCGGCGTACCGCATTGCGCTTTGTCCGACCTCGAAAGAACAACAATGTATGCCTCTGGCTCCAAGAAGTCTCTAGGCAATATGCATCGCAGGCATCGACATTGGGAACATAAGGAAGTACAATATCTTTGGCGAGGGAGACTTCTCCCGGCTTATACCTGCAAGAAAACACGAGGTTACCAAATCAAAACTTCGCTACTCGTCACAGCTCACCAGTTTCCAGTGGAATCCAGGTCTGGCAGAAGCCAGATAGCCGTTTTCATAAACCGGCGAACCGATTTAAATGACCACGGATGATGAACTGGAAGAACATGGTCTCGTCCACCCGACCTTTTCCAAGCCGCTTGATTTGTAACCCAGCTCAAAGCTTCCTGTGAGGAACATATCAGGCCAACGTACTCAAAAAAGAATGTAGAGAGTACGCACACCCTATAAAGCTGCTTGCACTGCTGCTTCTCCATGAGAAAATAGCTGATAGTCGTGAAGAAAGGGATGTAGAAAATGTCCGCTTCAGTGGGATTGAGAACTCGCTTCACAGACTTTAGAAGGCGCTGGGACTCGGGTGCTAGCAAGTCGGCATAGAGCCAGTAGTCTATCGAGTGCTGCAAAAGAAAGGAGAGAAACCAAAAGAGTTGTCAAACAAAAAGAAAGAAGAAACAAACCTGTCCGATCAATCGATGAACTGGGCTTCCATTCGACGTCAAATTCGCAGTCTCCTTGTATGTATCGCGAAACAATCGCAGGAGTTGGAGTGTAAACTTCTCAGGCATGTCATACACATAAACTCGAAGAACCTGAGAGGATCTTGCTCGATCTTCCATACCCCTGTCCAGATCCTCGGCGCTTCCAGTCCAAGGGACGGACAGCCGCGACCTAGCACCCAATCCGCGCTCCAGAAACCGATCCAGGGAGCTCAGGAACGAGCGATCTGGAGCCGAGCCTGGAATCACAGCGGCGTCCATCGGCGGCCGGTACGCGGAGAAGATCGACGAGAGGGCCGTGACAATGCAGGCGATTGCGACGATCGCGACGAGCAATGTAGGGATTGCGCCTACCCGTTTGATCCCGTGCGCTCTTCCCATATTTCTAGGGTTTATTGAGAATCTAAGCAATATTTCTAGGATATTCCTCAACGTGATTAACTTAAACTGAGGGAACCTTTAATATCATTTAGCTGAGAAATGTGCATATGAATGAATCAGAACTTGTCCACATTGGCAAACAAGTTGACAACTAATGATGTAAGTGATCTTTCCAACTTGAGTGTTGCTAGAAAAATCTTCACCACTTTAGATAGTGCAATCAATCTTAATGTTGGCAGAAGATTGGTGCAAAAGGTATTGTTATGAATAGCTAGTGCTTGATTTGGGTCCTTGCTTCTCTCGCACATCAGACCGAGAGACGCCACTTTTGGAGATGCTCTTCTGCATCTTGCTCATTTCTAAAGCCTCGGCGAAGTCTAAGTGGCCTCTGCTGCGAATCCACCAGCTTACAGTTTTCTGATTCAAGAACTTCGAGGAATGGCGCAGCTGTGAGCAACCTCTGTATCCCCTTGACAGCTGAAGGTTTTTTTCAGCTACTTGAGAGACCATTCAGGGTTGCAACTTGAAACAGCTTGTGCTGGAGGTAAACCAGTGTGAATTGGAAGTAAAGTTGGTTGCCACAAGCTGGAGCATGTGGAGATTTTCGGAAACATGGAATGTATGCATTTCAAGGGATCACGTTTACATTTTCTACAAAACATCATATTTGGCTCGCTGGTTGGATTGAGCAACGATCAGTTCTCCTACCTCATGTCGACTTGCATGCAGCTGACTCCACATCTGGCTGATTGTGAAGAGCTTCTCGATAAATGCAAATAGTAGAGGTTGATTTACCTTGCGATCATCATAGCTCGTCAGTCACAATCACAGAAATGCAGCTATGGCATCGAAGAGCCACTAGAAAGAAGCATTCTTGAGCTAAACGAAGAAAAAAAGATGGAGTGAGAGGAGGTGAAGAGTAAGAAATCTTCCAGTTCTTTATTCGAGTTTTTAGGAACTTCATTTAAAGCTTTGAGCGAGCGTCAGAAGCGGCGAGAGCGATCAGATCCTTTCGCAAGATCTTCCCGGAGGGCAATTTCGGTATGGCGTCCAAGAACTCTACGCGGCGGATCCTCTTGTGCGGCGCTACCTGCAAAGATCGATCTCAGGGTAGGCATTCTCTCTTTTCTCTCTACCTGTTCGGCCACAAATTTCATGGCATCGCTCTTGGACAGAGACTCTCCAGCTGCGCGGACAATGTAGGCCATCGGGATCTCTCCAGCGTCTTCGTCAGGGTACCTAGAAGAAAAACTCAGCGAGTTTTCTAGCTATCTATCCATGGATCGATTGAAAGAGAGGAACTTACGGGATCACACCCGCGTCTACGATGGCTGGATGAGTGAGAAGAACTGCTTCCAGCTCCGCGGGAGCTACCTGGTAACCTTTATACTTGATGAGCTCTTTGAGACGATCGACCACGAACAGGCACCCGTTACTATCGAAGAACACAATGTCACCTGTGTGGAGCCATCCATCTTTGTCGATGGTGTGGAGCGTGGCGGCCGGGTTATTCAGGTAGCCTTGCATGATACACGGCCCTCGAAGCAGGAGCTCGCCCCTGAAGTTCGGTGGAAGCGGCTTACCGGTGGTGAGATCGACAACTTTGGCTTCGTGGTTTGCAGAAAGCTTCCCAGATGATCCCGGTGGTCCTTCTCCAAACGCTCCCATTCCAGTGGTTTCAGTCATGCCGAATCCCTGGAGCCAAAGAAACTTTGATGAGAACTTCTCTCCAGCGGAAACTTCTACGTGTACCTGGAAGAAGTCTTGGATGTGGGGGAATTTGGTAAGGAACGCCTCCTGGATTTCTTTTTTAAGTGGTGCGGCACCGCATCGTGCTACTGTCACTGAGCTTAGATCGTATTTTGCAGATACTGGGTTCTTCATCAGCGCAACTACAATGGGGGGAACCAGCGGCAAAGTCGTGATCTTGAAGCGCTGGATCGCTTCAAGCATGGCAACCAAGTCGAACTTTTTGAGCACTATCAAGGTCGAGGCTTTGCGGATCACGAGACAGGCAGAAACAACGAGTCCGGCGACGTGAAAGAGTGGAAGCAACGCAATGGAGACGGAGGGCTTCTCATGCTCGGAGAGAATGGTCACGGATGTGATGAGATTCCCGTGAGACAGTATGACGCCTTTGGACGGCCCGGTGGTTCCGGAGGAGTAGAGCAGTGCTGCCGGGTCGCTGAGACGAATCCTTACCAGGTTCTCCGGAGCCGTGCCGCTCTTGAACTCCAGGAGTTTCCGAAACGGCAAGAACTTGGATCCGTGGCAACTGGTCTCTCCATCGACTAAGACAATGACAGAGAGCCTGGTTGGATCGCCCAACTTCGCTGCTAGCTCCGGTGACGTGACCGCAAACTTTGCTCCTGAATCTCTGAGCTGACGATCTATCTCTCCCGCGGTGTTGGCAGGATTCACAGTCGTCACCACTGCCCCAATGGCCAGAGCAGCGTGGAAGATCACTGGAAAATGTACAGTGTTCCCGAGAAGCACCAGGACTACATCTCCTTGAGCAACACCAGCGAGCGACCACAGCCCGCCCGCGACAGCCTCCACTCGCTCGCGAAACTCCCGGCAGCTGATAAAACTCCCAGACGAGGAGTCGACAATCAGTGGCTTGGAAGAATTGGAGGGGTGTCCAACAGGACCGGAGAAGAGAAACGCTGCGAAACTCTGGTGTGGATGAGCAGGCAGGCTGATTGCTGCTCGAGAGCTGCGATAGACACCTTCGTCCTCCTGGTAGCCGCTCGAATCCGCCATAGCAAGCAAGCAAGCAAACAAACAATAGGGCGAAAACTTTCTACCCCCATCGAGCTACAGTAAACCATTTTTACTTTTTTAACAATCTATCACAATTTTCATATCATCACGATTTTAAGTAGACAGGTAGCTGGGCTTTGAAGCCGAGAAGTCTTTGCATTGGTCAGATTTCGTCAATGGATTAAGATTCGACACTGTTAATTTGGAAGAGCTGGCAAGATTGCACTCCTACATTAGTATCAAGCAAACACGTAAATCTAAATTTTATTTTAATAGGATAGTTAAGACCCACATATGTAGTATAAAGAGAATTATTCATTTTTATGTGACAACAAATACTTTTTCCTCTCTTTGCGCAACTTAGAATATTCAACAAGTGGCATATAAGATTCTTTAGCATATGCCCATTCTGGGCATACGTAAAGAACATTACCGCTCTCACTGAGTTCCCGTAGCTCAGCTGGTTGAGAGCGTTGGTCTTATGAGCCGAAGGTGGCGGGTTCGAACCCCGCCGGGAACAATATCTCGTTAAGTTTTCATATAATTACCAATGCTCTATGCTCTTCGTAGTTTTTCACATGCAAACATGGAATTTACCTTGTCCACAAAAGTAGTTGTGACTTTCTGGACCACCTGGCCTACATTTGGGGAGAGCTTGCGTGCTCTTCCCACCAATATATATTCCAATATTTCCACCTTGTTCTCTTCTTCCTTTATGTGGGAAGAAACCAGTTAGCTTTGACCATTTTCTTCTCCTCGTTCTCTCCTCCCATTTTGCGCGAGCTCTAGAAGCTCTACTAATCGGATCGCCATGGTTTTGAAGCAGCAAGGATCTGGCGAGGAGGGCGATGGATCGCGCTTGAAGCAGCATCGCAAGATCAGCAAGTTCCGGGGCGTGAGGAAGCGGTCGTGGGGGCGATGGGTGTCGGAGATCCGCGAGCCGCACACGCAGACGCGGGTGTGGCTGGGGAGCTTTGCAACGCCGGAGATGGCAGCGCGAGCCTACGACGTTGGCCTCCTCTACCTCCGCGGCCCCTCCGCGGTGCTCAACTTCCCCGACTCGCCATCGCGCCTGCCTTGCCTCTCGCGGATCACTGTCAAATCCATCCAGGCCGCTGCCGCCATCGCTGCAAACGCCATGGCAATCTCGAGCACCGGCAATCCTCCTCCAGCGAACGATCCCACGAGCGCTGCAGCTCCAAGTTATAGCACTGGCCATGGATCACTCGTCGAGCATTGCGATGGCAAGCCATTGTCTCTCTTCGAGCAGATCGAGCAAGACTCGAGCAAGGAGATCAGCGCCACCGACACTCCCAGCACCGACAACACGGACATCTCAAGCGATCGTCTGAGTGAGAGTAAGAGTGTGGGCTGTGTAGATCCGAGGGAAGAACCCTCGATCCACGATGATCATGTCGTGATCATCGATCAAGAGGTTACGGCTGAACAGCCAATGCCAAGCTTCCCACTGGACGATTGCATGGCCCTCCTGGACGACGCCCCGCTCGAATCCTTCCCGTGCATCGCCGCGGCCATTGAATATCACGACGAGGATCCATTCGACGAGCCGATTCTTTGGCCTCACATTTCATGACCGATCCTTGCGTGTACAGAAAAAAAAAAGACTAAGTGAAGAAAAAAAAGAGCTTTCTATGATTCCTTGAAAGCGAACCAAGTTCTAATCTTTTGATCACTCACCGAATCGGATGTGAACGAAATCTTGACGATCCCCGCCGCAAAAGCCACTGGGCGTTGACTAACGCGAAATGGTCGGTGCCAGAAAAGTCAACCCACTTCACGATCAAAGACATTCAAAGCTCTTGCAACTTGGTTCATAGGATGAGATTTGTGTCTAGAAGGCATGGATTAGATCGAGCGAGACAAAGCACCGACAAGAGCAAATCGCTACACACGGCAGCGGCAGTATTACAAGTAGATCAAGCAAAGGGAGCCGTGGAAGAAGAAAAAGAAGAGCAAGGAGATCAGGATGCGAGCACGCTCGATCGAATCCAGCACTGGAGGAGGCCGCGCAACATTCCCATCTGGGCGATCCATTGCTGCAAGGCCATGTCCGCGAATGCCGAGACCGACCACCCACACGAGATCCGCGCCGCTTTCGACCGATCCAAGCCCCGGACTCTCGTCACCTGGAACACGCTCCTCACGATCTACTCCCAGTCCAGTGATCTCTCGCGAGCCACTCAGGTCTTCGACGCAATGCCCGGGAGGAGCAGCGCGTCGTGGAAAGAGCTCTTCCTCCGGTATGCCCAGTTCGGGCATATCAATCCAAGCAAGGAACTCTTTGATAGAATGCCCGGAAGGGATCTCGTGGTGTGGACAAGCTTTCTAAATCTCTTTGCGAGACATGGCGAGTTAAACCACTCCAAAGAATTGCTTTTCAGGATGCCTCAACACGATCGAGTGTCGTGGACTACTATGCTTCGAGGATATGCCCAATGTGGGCAAATGCTAAATGCTAAACAAATGTTTGATTCTATGGAAGAACGAAGCTTTTTCTCCTGGACGGACATGGTATCCGGCTATGCAAGAATGGAAGAATTTGACAACGCTAAATCTCTGTTTGATCAAATGCCTAGCCACGATTTAATCACTTGTACCGCTATAATACCAGCAATTGCCAACTATGGGAAAATTGGTGACATTAAGTTCTTTTACGACTCTGTGCCCGAGAAAGATCTCGTGCTATCGACCGCGTTGGTGGGAGCTTTCGTGCAAATCGGGAATCTGGTAGAGGCCCGAGGTGTGTTTGAGACGATGGCGACGAGGAACTTGGTTTCGTGGACAACGGTAGTGTCAGGCTATGCCCAGTATGGATTCATAGACGAGGCCGAGAGGATGTTTTCCCGGATGCCTGAGTGGAATCTCGTGTCCTGGACCGCGATGATTGATGGGCTGATGGAAAACGGGGGCCTGGGCCCAGCGAAGCTTCTCTTTGATCGAATGCCGCAGAGAAACATCGTTGCCTACACCGCTCTTGTCACGGGATTCATCCGGAATGCGCAGCTCGATCTGGCAAAGGAGCTCTTCGATCGAACCCCGCAGTGGGATCTCGTGATCTGGGCTTCGATCGCCGCCTCCTATGCCCAGCACGGGCATGTCGACCACGCGATGGCGATCCACCAGCAAATGCCCGCAAGGGACGTGATAGTGTGGAATCTGCTGGTCGCGATGCTCGGCCAGGCCGGGAGAATGGAGGACGCGCTCAAGATCCAGCACCAGATGCCGAAATGGAACGTTTTCACCTGGAACGCGATCCTCTCCGGCTACGCGATCAATGGCGATATCCACTCGGCTCAGCGATCGTTTGACAGCATCCCGGAGGAGATCGTGAACTGCCAGTGCTGGACGAGTTTGATGCACGCTTACGCTCGCAATGGCCGCGTGATCGAGGCTCGAGCTGTGCTCGCCGCAATGCCCACGAGAGATCTTGCGGCCTGGAACTTGATGATGGAAACATATGCCCAAACGGGGCGTTACAAGGAAGCCATTCATCTCTTCCACGAGGCCACGCTCGATGGCGGAGTGAGGATCGATCTCGTCTCATTCATCACCATCCTCTCGGCTTGCAGCCATCTTGGGAAGATCCAAATCGCCCGCGATCAATTCGTGTCTATGATCGCCGACTATGGCATTGTTCCAATCCGGGATCACTACTCGTGCGTGGTGGACGCTCTCGCGAGATCTGGGAGGCTTTGCGACGCTGAAAGTTTGCTCGAGACGATGCCTTTCGTGCCCGAGTCATCCGCGTGGGCGAGCTTGCTGTCGGCGTGCCGTGTCTACCGAGACAAAGATCGTGGAGCTCGAGCAGCCGCGCAAGCCATGGAGGTCAATCCCCAAGCTTCGGCTTCGTATCTTCTCTTCTCGCACTGCTAGCTTGACTTTGTACTTGAGCACGTTGTAAATTTGTATACGTAAAGGTGGTAGGGACGTTTTCCTTGACTGAAGGTCTTGATTTCACGTGAAAACTATAGCATCGCTGTCTAACATAACCAAAACCTTGTCGAATCTACAAAACAATCTCGGAAAAACCATGGCAATCTTGAGAAAGCCACGTGAAAACTATAGTATTGTTCTTTCTAACATACATTTTCAACGATCGCACAGCAAAACCTTGTCGAATCTACAAAAGAATCTCGAAAAGACCATCGTGAAAACTATAGCATACACTTTGAAAACGTAGTATTATTCTTTCTAGCGTACATTTTCAACAATTTGTGCAGCAAACCTTGTCAAATATACAAAACAATCTCGAGAAAACCAATTTGTTCGATCACCAAGACCGCTTGCAAGCATCTGGAGCTCGAAACCAGACCCTCGATTGATCAGATCTTCTTTCTCCCAAGGTTTGAGCTTCGAAACGCTTCCAATCGTCCAGCACAAGCCGGAGATCCTCCATCTTTGCGTGGAGCCCCACGCAGCAATTGGCATGCATCGTGCAAAAGCTCTCGAGATCATCCGGCCTCTCGCAGAAGGAGCTAAAGATCCTCGATGGCAAGAACCTTATTCGCGCTCCAATCCTCTGGAACTCGTCGCTGAACTTGATCTGGTTGAAAACGTCCTGGTCATGGGACTCCGCGTGGATCTCGGTAGCGTTGTGCCAGAGCTTAAACATCTCCACGGTGCGATTGCTCGACTTTACGTGAAGGAAGCCCGTGTTGGGACCGTTGTGGAGGCTGGCCTCGTCGCCATTGAATCGATCGCACGAGACCTCAAACTCGGCTTCTTGGGAGAAGTGTGGAAAGGGGTCTCGGAACCAGAGGAGATCTCCATCCGTGAAAACGAGGCTGTATCCAAGCTCGAGCACCACGGCCAGGAAAGAAACCTTCCTCCGGGTCATCTTGAGGTAGTCATCCGTCATGAAGAACTTCTCGCCGGAGAAATCCACTCCTTGAGTGCGCAGCTGGAAGCAGTGGCGATGGATCACCAGGCACCGCTCGAAAGCGACTTGATCCAAGGCAACGATGACCAAACTGTCTAGGAACTTGCTCGTGTTCTCGCCCGATCGAAAGCTCTCGAAGAGGTAGTCTAGCATGCTGCCTGGAGCAGCCCACGCTTGATTCAAAGGTGTGAGGATCACTGTACTGGTGTTCTTGATCGTTGCATTGCGCAAAACCTGGTCCAGGTTCCAGAGCTCTTCCACGCTCTATAGAAAGATCACGTTTGAGGGTTTCTGTGAAGATCCCAGCTAGAACACTTACAAAGTTGCTGCTCCTGGCGATGGATTCGATCCGAGTTTGCTGCTCCTGCTGCTTGGAATCACTGGCAATCCCCACCACTCGGAAGTTCCTCATGATCAGGAAATTCGGGTAGCTCCAGAAGCATATCAAGGCACCGAGGAGGAGCAATCCGAAGCAAACTGCTGCGATACTCCTGCTCCTCCTCGATGAAACATTGAAGTCCATAACGTGTGGAAGTCGATCGGTCGATCGGGAAGAGCACGATCGAAAGCTCCCAGCAATGACGAGGCCCCATGGTCACGAAGGAAGCATCGAAAGTCTCCGCCTGGACTACCAGTCAAGCACGCCAGCTAGAGTTTCGATCGATCGAGGAGCACGATTTCGAAGTTGACAATAGGTTTAAAAAATCGTTTAACTCCAACTCTCGCTGAGAGAAGTATAATAGATCAACTGTACAGAAACTAGTAGTCCTCGATCTTACTTTCGCCACCATTCTAGAACCTATCGCTATATAAAAGCTCTTGATCGTCGCCACCATCGCTAGAGGAGAAATCCTCCTCGAACTCTTCCTCCTCCCTGTAAGACTCTGGATAGACGACCCTCGATCTATAACCGAGAAAGTCCTCCCCACCATTCTCTCCACTCTCCCTGTAGCTGTGCGCTTGGCGATGGCCACCATCGCTCGCAAGTTCTTCCACATCGAGAAGCTCTCGCGCTAGCAAGTCCTGCGCGAGCCACTGCTTGGCCGCTTGAGCGGCGTCCCTTTGCCCGAGACCGCTCATCACATCCTCCCACGAGAGCCAAGCGTCCGAGTAGCGCCGCAAAGAGCCCGAGCTCCCAATCACCACCGTCCGAGCTCTCCTCCTCCGTGCGTCTCGCAGCACGCCCCCAAATCCCGAATCGTCCGAGACGAGGCACACACAGTTCTCTCCTGCGCTGCCGCCGCTGCCCTCGGCCCCGAAGATCGTGGCCTCCATCCGCCGCTTGAGCGCCTCGTCCGCGGCGTCGGGCTTGTCCGAGACGGTCCGTACGGACACGCCCGCGCGGCGCAGCTCGGCGGCGAGTCCGTACCCCGCTGCCGGCGGCGCCGTCGTGCCCATACCGCCGCTGCACGCCGCGCGGTACCGCTGCTCCTTGGCGGCGATGGCCGACTGGAACTTTGCGCGGCGCTTGCCCGTGAGCTGGTTGAGGCGCGCGATTCTCTTGCCGCGCTCGCGCTCGTGGAGCTGCTTGAAGTGCTTCTTGAGATCCAGATTGGTCTTGCACTTGCGGCCGCACAGATTGCATTCGTAGGGCGCCGGCGGCTGGATCCGACCAGTCTTCTCCAGAATGTCGAGGATCTTCCTCTCGCGACGCTGCTCGCGGACCCATTCCGGGATGTGGATGAAGGCGTGGCGGTTGGCCAGCGCAATCGTCTCCCTCACGCACCCAAACGCGCCCGCCGCGCTCTTGAGCCGCATCGCCACCGTGAAGGGCGCCAGCGCCGGCGGCTTGTTGTCCAAATCCCAAAAGATCGAAACCGTCCTCGACGGCGTCGCCACCGCGAAGCGCTGCTGCTCTGTGTCGATCGATGCCCGGCAGCATTCTCTTCTTACCCGGACCTGCCGCTGGACGCAGCAGCAAGACGCCATAGCCATAAGAACCCTAGAAAAGCCCTAGACCTAGATTTAAAATTTAAAACTTCGAAGTTTGGCGCCAAACTCGAACTTATGCGCGCCATCGCCAATCCTTTGTTTCAAGCTGCTGCGTATATGAATTCATTATAAAACGATTTCATTGTCTAACTATATTATGAGAACCTGCATCAAGCTTTTTCAGAAAATTTTACACAATCAGTGAATCAGCGAAGTTCATCAGTGGATCATTATTTGTGTTCACAGAAAGTTTTGATACTATATAATGGTGGTGTTAGTGCAGGCCAACAACAAGTCCAACTTTATATTCTAGATTTTCTGTGTTTAAAAAAAACAAGAGAGGAAGACATCATTTTCTTTCCACGTTTTTATCAAGTTTGGTTTCTTTCTCTCTACGTAACTTGTTCTTCGAAAGATGACACCATTTTCTTTCCACGTTACAAACAAAGAAAAATCTTATCTTTTGTCAAGCTTGGGTTTCTTTCTCTATACTTTCTATGTTTCTGTTCAGAACTCGTAAACTTGTTCTTCACGATATAACTGTATAAGAAGAGAAAATTCACGAGGATTCTTTCTGTTGTGATCAAAGCCCCCTATGTAACTTGTTCTTCGAGAGATGACACCCTAGATAACACCATTTTCTTTCAACCTGTTTCTGCTCAGAACTCGTAGACTTATTCACGATATAACTGAAAAACCCAAGAAGGCTCTCCTGGGCTGAAACAACACGACACCCAGAGTATAAAATCTCCATCAAACGAAAATCCCTCCATTCCACAAGCTTCTCTTCTTCATATTAGTCCGATTCAATCATGTCTACATCCATTCTCGTGCGATTGGCGATGGTGGCACTCGCAGCAGTCATCCTTCCTTGCCACTCCGCCGATTCCGATCCCCTCCAGGACTACTGCGTCGCCGATCTCACCCTCAACCTCACCATCAACGGCTATCCATGCAAGGACTACTACGCCGCCACCATCGACGACTTCGTTTTCAGCCTCGCCACGCCCGCCAACACAAGCAACGCTTACGGAGCCGACAGCTTCCCAGGCATCGTGCAAACGTTCCCGGGTCTCAACACCCTCGGCTTCGCAATCCTACGCCTCGACTTCGCGGTGGGAGGCCTCATTCCTCCACACACGCACCCCCTCGCGTCCGAGCTCGTCTACGTCGAGGAGGGGAGCTTGTACGCCGGCTTTGTGACCCAGGACAACAGGCTCTTCGCCAAAATCCTCAACAAGGGCGATGTTTTGGTGATCCCCCGCGCGCTCATCCACTGGCAGCTCAATGTGGGCGACACTCCGGCCAAGGCCATCGCCACCCTCAACTCGCAGCAGAACCCTGGAGCGCAGCTTATCGCGAGTTCCTTGTTCGGATCTGGGATTAGAGACGACGTGCTGGCCAAAACTTTCTTCCTTGATGAGTCCATTGTCCGCCACCTTAAGTCGAATTTTTCTTAAGACTACGACATTTCAGTTGTCTTGATCCTTTGCCACATATCATGGGCTTATAGTTTTCCTTTGAAGGAGGAAATGGAACACCGCGTGCAACTCCCTCGTGGGACCTTATCTCCAGCATGATCGCGTGGATGAAACAATAGAAAGTTTGCATGAGATTAGCGCTAAACTTGCCAAAAGGTTGGCTAAGTTTACGAGTAAACATGGGTGAGAATGGGCATTTTTTTCTGCGGGTGCCTACAAATCGGGCATTCCTTCTTCGCCCCCCATACCGCTGGTAAGCATTCCTCGCAAACGTACGAGTGGCCGCAACCATAGAGACCTCGCCGCAACGAGAACTTCTCCATGCAGATGATACAGTTCTCGTTCTTGGCGTTCTTCTCGTCCGATTTGATCGACTGGGAGAGCTCCTCCTTCTTCCGCAGCTGCTCCTCCAGGAGTTGCTTCTCCTTTGCCTGCTTCTGCTGGGCGAGCTGGAAATTCCAAGGAGAAGATGAAAGAAGAATGAGGGAAGGAAAGGGATGAGACTTGCGGTACTTACTTGCAAGCGCTCCTCGTTGTAGCGTGTTCTGAGTGCCATCATCGTCTTGTGCTGCTCTTCCTTGAGCGCCGCAAGCCTTTGTAGGAGTATGAGCGCGCAAAGCAGCTCCAGAGCCAACTCCAGCAAGAGAATGACGCTGCCGAGAGCGCGCTCCACAACGACAGCCAAAAGGCAGCGATTTTGCAGGAAGAGCTGGCGAGAAAGAAGGAAGAAATGGAGAAGGAGAAACGCCTCCGAAGAGAAATCAAGGAGGCACATGAGCGTGAGGTAGGATTTCGATGGGCTCTCGTTGTTTTGATCTTGTCTTTCGTTTTCCAGATGAAGAAGCGAAGGTCACAGCTCGAGGCCCAGCGGGAGATGGTGCTCCGGAGCTGCCGCCGAGAAAACGAGGAGCTCTTTGAGAGCCTGAAGAAAAAGCGTGAGGAGACCGACGCGGAGATCGCCAAATACCAGAGGGAGGAGAAATCTTTGCAGCAAAACATAGACTCTCGCAACAAGGAGCTCCAGTTAAGTTTTCATTCTTTGTCGAGGATACTTATGCTCTGTGTTTTCCCTTTCTTTGATTGATCTCAGGAAGTTTGAGAGGCTTCTCAGCGAGCAAGGCCTTCAGATGAAAATAGGAGAAAGGATTGCAGCGCTCAAGGAAGAGCAGCACAAGACGATGATGGCACTCAGAACGCGCTACAACGAGGAGCGCTTGCAAGTAAGTATCGCAAGTCTCATTGCTTTCCTTCCCTCATTCTTCTTTCATCTTCTCCTTGGATTTTCCAGCTCGCCCAGCAGAAGCAGGCAAAGGAGAAGCAACTCCTGGAGGAGCAGCTGCGGAAGAAGGAGGAGCTCGCCCAGTCAATCAAATCGGACGAGAAGAACGAAACAAAACGAAAATAAAGAAATAGCCACGAATGACTGACATATACCAGCTCGGAAGGATCATCGGGTGCGTAGCCTGATCTGTAGTAGGCAACTGCGACAAGATGCCCATCACTGCGAAACAAAGAAAAGAGAAAAACATAATTATAAGTGGACGAAGCATATATCCAAACAAAGATTGCACTCACACAGAAAGCGTTCCATTGGAAGAGAGATGCGCTTCAGAATAAAGTTCAGTTAGCGTTCAACGAATCATACTGGCACCGTGACTGACGCAAAGTCAAGGAAAGGCGTCGCCACTGGCTTCGCTGTTCTTGACAGCGTCTATCTCTTTTTGGAAATAAACAAGTAAAAAACTTAAGGGTAAATGGATAATTGAAGAGCTGCCTTTTCTCACCATTTTTTGGAATTTGATCTGCCATAGCGCAAGGGGGCAGAGGGATACACTCCATTGAGAGGAATGAATAGATTGAAAAACCAATACTAATGCTCATGCTGCTTAATTTCCAAAATTCTATTTTTATTTTTTGTAAAATACCGTTAAGTGTACTTATATTGACCTTTGACCTATAATGTAATTCAAACTTCGCGTTCCAAGGGGCGGCCGTTGACTCGTCGTTCCAAATTAGTGTGTACGCGGAGCATCCAAGTACTACCACATTTTCGAGGTATATATATCATTCAAGGCAATGGTTCTTCATCACAATTCCAGCGATCCACTCATCTCCAATCAAAGATTTCATCCAGTTCTTCGACTATGGCTCTCTCCAAATCTCATGCTGTCTCGATTGCTTTGCTCGCATTCTTCGTGTGCGCAGTAGTTTCATCCGATCCAGATCCACTCCAGGACTTTTGCATCGGGGATCTCAACGTCGTCCCCGGGATCAATGGATTCCCATGCAGGAACTCGTCCGCAGTCACGGTGGATGATTTCATCTACAGCGGAATCGTCAACTCCTCCAACACCACAAACATCAATCGCTCTGGCGCCATCTTTGGAACCGTGCTGAGATTCCCGGGCCTCAACACTTTGGGTCTCTCCATCGCTAGGCTCGACTTTCTCCCGGAAGGGATCATCCCTCCACACACCCATCCCAGAGCCTCAGAGATGGTCTACGTAGAAGAAGGGACCGTGTACGCTGCCATCGTCACAGCGGACAATCGCCTGTTTGCCCGAGTGATGAACAGGGGAGAAGTCATGGTGATTCCTCGCGGATTAATCCACTGGCAGATGAACGTGGGAAGGACCAACGCGAAGATCATCGCCACTCTCAACTCCCAGCTCCCCGGAATCCAGTTCATTGCGAGATCCATGTTTGGATCCCGACCAGAGGTGCCGGACGAGGTGCTTGAGAAGACTTTCTTCTTGGACGAGCGTGGCATCAACCAAGTCCGATCCAACTTTGTATAAGATTCTCCCGTGTATAAGATTCTTTTCTCCTTGTCTTTGGAGTCTATGCAAGTTTGTTGATTGCATTCCGCTGCAAGAAAGTAGCCGCGATGAAGCAACCAGAAAAGCAAAGATGCGCTGGAAAAGCTCCTCCGCTCAGCATCGATTTCTCGAAATAGGCCGAGCAAAATTTAGTCACCAGTAATCTCCGCAAGAGCACGTCCCGTTGCTAAAGTGATGGAACCGGCTAGCGTCTCTCACGGTTATAGATCGTCCCACCATCTTGGACACAAACTTGATAGCCGAGTGGCAATCCCCGCACACCCGCAAGTTCTTGAGGATCCTCAGCGGCGACCCTTGCTCCGTGCTGATCAATCCAAAAGCCACAGCCATTTTCTCGCTGTGGTAGTGCAGCAGCTCCTCTTTCTGCTCCTCGCCAACGTCATGCAAGATCTCCTTCGTGTCGGGAACGTAGCCAGCGTCTCGCATTTCTCTCGCCGGCCTCTGGAGCTCCACGACGATGTCTTCGCTGCGAGGATGCGAAAGATCCCCCACCACGAAACTGTGAACTTCGCTGCCAACTTCGATGTTGCTGATCCCCGGAACTTTTCTCACTCGCCTCGACTTCATCAGGTTCCGGATCATCGATACCTTGTCCCTCCTCCCGATCGACGAGTACATGTTTGAGAGAACGACGTAGGCAGTCGTGTAGCCGGGCTCCAGCTCGAAGATCTTCGCTGCGACTCTCTCAGCACAGTCGGCATGCCGGTGGAGGCGACAAGGTCCCAGCAGCGACATCCATATCATCACTCCGGAAGAAATGGCATCGAGTTGACGAGCTCCTCGGCATACCGATGCCAAGGCTCGCAACTCCCGATCGATTTGCTCCTTCATGTCTCACAACCTTCCAGTCCAAACCTTTTGGCCGTCCACTTAAGTTCTTTCTGAAACTTTGTCCCCCAGTCGAGGATGGTAATCTGCCTTTTCTTGGAATACTTGCGCTCGATCTTCTCCCTCAACCAGTTGCACTTCTCTCGATCCGGGATGTGCTCATCGTCCCACGCTTGCTCCAGCCGCTTCAAGAGCGCCTGGAGAGTCTGGACTGGACGATTGACAAAAACCCGGACATCCTCCACACCCCGATAAAAAATGATCCAGATTGGCCTCGGGTTGAGCAGCTTGGCTTTCGTGTGACCATTCACCCGGTATGCTCTCAGCAAGCACATACTCCCCTGGATCGTCTGGCCGGACAACCCTGGGCTTAAGTTGTCGTCCACGCTCTTGGAATCGCCCTCTTCGAGGTAGGCCATCGAGGAAATTATCCGGGGGCACGGCCCAGGGCTTTAGTTCCAAGAATGGAGAGCATTGGCGCTGGCCTCTCTCATCACGATCCCTGCTGCTTCCGCCGAGCAGGGATTCTTTCCATGTCAGACCCCAAAAGGCGCCGCCGCTGCGATTCCTCGAGATATTTCAGTAACTGGCAGAAGAATCGCACACGGACCGTACACGTGGATCTATACATTTTTTTCCACCAGGATCGAAGGCCTATATGAAAGGTGGTAAAAGAATCAAATAGAGAATTCTTTCTTACTTTTAACTTCTACATTTATTTAACAAATGTAACTGGTAATAATATAACGTTCCCCGCGCTACTGAGCAGGATCCAGCGGAATGAGCTCTTGCGGCTATCGCGGCATGGTAGTTTCGGATCGTTTGGCGACAGGGAGCAATCGGGCGGAGGAAAGGTAGGATTTGTCATACTCTTTCTCTCTGGCACTTGCGATTTAGATCGGTGAGGAGCAATGTCGTCAGCACTGGCAGCTTGTCTCTCCATGTCGCAGGTAACTAGCGAGAATTTCGTTTCCTTTTGATTTTCATATCTTATCGCAGGAACATACAAGATGTTTGGATGCACCAAGAGGTTGGCTTTAGCTCGCTCGCCTCCAACTTGTTCCAGGAAGGAGTAAAAGCTGGTCCGAGTTCCTTCTCACGCCAAGGTAAGGGTCTCCCATCCACTCCATTGCCGACGAGCTTCATTCCAGGCATTCTTTCTCCATCCCGGATTCGAACACCGGTCGTCGACGATCGTGTTACAATACAGGACTCGAACTTTCCCCGCGACCGTTTCACACTGGTTTAAAAATCCAGCTGCCATGGGCGTGAACCGTACGGGAATGCATCCACCTGAGGTAAAATTTCTCACTTTTACACGTTCATCACCGATCAGCTCTTCCAGGATGCTCAGCGCAAGGGCCGTCTCGACGAGGAGGAACGCCATGCTGCTCCAGCTCAAGGTCGGCAATCCTTCGAGATTCACATACAAGGTGGCTTAGATTTGCTAGCGTGTGGTTTTGACTGCGTTCTTTGCGCCTTCTTTGGAGCCGAAAGCCTCCATTCCCTCCGATTTTCCTCTACTACTACCCTTGCGACTTCTTGCGCTGCTGTGGCTGGATTCTTGCTCTTCTTTCTGAGCAAAGGCGCTGGTTTCCCCTGTGGATTGCGAGCGTGTCTTGTTCCCCTGTTGTATTTGGCGTTACCATTCCTTTCTTCGAGCCAGAGGCTTCCATTTTCTGTGGCCTGCCTCGATTCTCGTGTGTTTTGCGGCTTCTTCGTGTTTTCTCGCTAGTAGGGGCTCTTCTCTCGGAATGTTCTCGTGTTCTTGTGTTGTAGGGGCTGAGGTAGCGTTTGAGTTCTTTTGCTTTCTTGCTTGCTCCCTTTGCGTGCTTTTATCTTTCTCCTTTGGTTGCGCACTAACTTAACTCTTGTTGCCGGCTGAGGAAAGCTTCCTTCTCCCGGATGACGGACGCGCTGATGCTGAAGATTTACGAGGCTTGGAGCTCATCGTACCGAACGTCCAAGCCAAGCGCTCCACAGGTGGAAACTGAGCCTACTGGCCAGAAGGAGAGCGCTGTGGAAAGCAAGCGGAAGCGCCCAGCGAGGAATGCTTCTACCGATCAGAAGCAGACCAGCTTCGCGAAAAGCGCATCGGCTGCGTGCTCCTGCCGACCGGAAGCGGTGCCACGATCTCATCAAAGAAGCCGGAAAAGCAGGGAGGCTGGAGGACGCGAAGAAGCTATTCAATAGCATCTCCTCTCCAAATGCGCTACTCGTACAACGCCATGTTGCAGGCTTACGCGGTGAACAAGAAGCCTGACGAGGCCTTGGAGCTCTTCCAAAGAGCCACCACGAGAAATGCTGTTCCGTGGAATATCGTGCTTAATGCGCATGCAAGGTGAGCACGGTTTTGCTAAAGTCTTACGTTTTAACTCTTCGTCTGTTTGTTTTACCAGCTTCTATGGAGCTCGCCCCTGCTTCATGCGGTATCCTTGCTGGGATAGCTACTCAACGACCATACTCAGGCACTTTGCAATTGCAGAGCTCAAGGCTGCTGTTGCCTCGTCAGACCTGGAGGACGTCAGAGCACAGTACTTCAAGGCCTTTTGCTACGATGATGGATATGTCGACGCGATTATTCGAAGCAGCTACACGTCTCTCATGCACAGCCTTGGTACCCATGGTCATCTCGTTGATGTTGCCGAGAATGTCTACAAGCGAATCCCCTCTCCGGATGCTGCTGCCTTCAACGCTCTTCTCGCGGTTTATGTGAAGAACGGCTATTACTGGCGAGCACAGAAGCTCTTCGCCGAAGGAGGGGGTGATAGGATCGACACCAGGTCGTTCAACATTATGATTTCCAGTTTGCCGCTGCTTGAAGACTCGGAAGCTCTTTTCGAACGGGCAAAGGAGAAGGATGTCTTTACCTGGACAAGCCTTGCGTCAGCCTATGTCCAGAACAACAGGTATAGTTCCATTTCGCTTTTCTTCTTCTTTTTTCGGCTCGGCTGATTGTATCTTGTTTTCCAGGCCAGGCAGCAGATTTGACGATCCAGAGGATGATCCAAGAAGGCATCGAACCAGCAAGAGTTACGTTTCTCGTCTGGGTTGCTAGTGGTGAAGAGCCTGGAACAATTGTACGCGACTTCGACTTCGTTCCGAATGCCTCGCACTATGGCCAAGTGGTCATCAACCTTGCCCGAGGTGGGAAGTTTGCAGCGGCCGTGGAGCTTGCAAGCTGTTTGCCAGACGATCCGTGAACTGGATGGCGGTTCTCTCTGCGGCAAGAATGGTTGACAACGTGGTCTACGGCGAGATTGCAGCAGAGAAGCTTCTGAGGCTCAAGAGCGACGATGACAAGTCCCCCACCGTATACATCATGCTGGGCAGCATCTACTACAACACGAAGCAGGAAAAGAAGCTCAAAGAAATCCTGGGAAAGATCAAGAAACTCAAGTTGAGGAGGATTCCGGGCATAAGCACGGTCGAAGCAAACGGCATTGGGAGGAAGTTTGTGGCATTCATCTTTTGTGGTGAAGGATGCCGCGACTACGCACACCATCGTTGACGGCCGCTGCACTTGCAATGGTAAGTGGTAAGCTTTCTCTTGATCTAAGCTAGTTGCAACGCTTTTCTAATTCTCTAACGAGCTTTTAAATTGTGGCACTAATCACGAGGAATCTGAATCGGTACCTGAAAACTACTTGAAATGGATGAGTCAAGAGCTTGACAATGAGTGGAAGGAGGTAGCAATTCAAACTTTGGCCAGAAACAAGGATGTGCAAATACACGAGCCAAATGGTGATAGAATTGGATCAATGGTAGTGGACTTTGGAAAATACAAGGGTAAGCGACTTGCAGATTGTTCGAGAAGATGGAAGCCAAGAATTTAACATCATGTTAGCAGCTATGGCTAAAAAGAAAACTCGTTGAGATAAAGGAGTTTTTCAATCAAGTGCCCGAAAAGGATGATTACTCATGGACCATACTCTTGGGTGCATACATGGATTATGGGGAAGTAGACGAGGCAAGGAGAATTTTTGATGGGCTGAAGGTGGCAAACGTTGTTACATTGAACACAATGGTCCAAGGGTATGCTCAGAACGGGCAAGTTAATCGAGCTCGCGAGATGTTTGATGGGATTCCCCGTGACACCAAGAGTGCAGCATCATGGAATGTGATGATCTCTGCATACGGAAAAGCTGGCAGACTGCAAGAAGCTGAGGAGATGTTTGAGTCAATGCCAAAAGAGCTCAGGAACCAGATCACTTGGAATTCAATGATGAAGGAGCTTGTACGAAATGGTCGATTAGTCCATGCGAAAAATATATTTAACACCATGCCCACGAAAGATGCTATTTCTTGGACGTGTCTACTCAGAGGCACTGTGTCACGCAAGTGGAAAAGAAAGTTTGGCAAAAGCTCTCAAATTGTTGGAGGAAATGCCGCATGACAAAACAGTGGTTCACTGGACGATGATGTTGGAGGCCTATTCCGAGACGTTGACTCCGCGAGGGCCATGTTTGACCGGATGGACGAGCCGGATGTGGTGTCAGTCAATGCGATGCTGTGGGCTTATGCCCAAAACGGCCATCTTCAGTCAGCAGTTGACTTTTTTTACGACAAATCTAAACACAAAGATATTGTCACACACAATATAATGCACATTGTGTATGCAGCGTGCGGGAGGTATGATGATGCAAAGGCATTGTTTGCCAACATGCCTAACAAAGATTGTAAACATGGATATCCATGATCAACAATGATAAGGGATGAAACATATGTGATTCAAACCTTTAATGAGATGATTTTGAATGGAATTCTACCCACATTCATTGCTATACTTGCAGCAAGCAGCCAGGTTTTGGATGTTGAAGAGAGCAAAAGCCTATTTTTCACGCCCATGGAACCCGACTTTGGTATTGTGCTAGGGATTGAGCATTACGATTGCATGGTTGGGATGCTTGGGAAGGTGAAGTGGATGGAAGAGGCCCAAGACTTATTGAGACGATGCCCTATGAGCGGGATGCAAGAATTTGGATGACATTTCTCTCTTCCTGTAGGAAGCATGTAAATGCTGAGCATGGAAAATATGCTGCAGAGCAGATATTTGCCATGGATGCCACCCCATACATTATATATGGGAAAAGTGGAAGGACTGATGAAATTGCTGGGCTGAGAAAGATGGTGACAGAGAAGGGCTTGAAGAAGCTTGGAGCAATCAGCCGTGTCCAAGTTAGTGGAAAAATGCACACATTTCGTGTGGGGGATCGATCTCATCCTAGTATAAAAGAAATACGGGGTGAGCTCACGAGGTTAATGAAGCTGGCAAAAGATGTGAAAGAAGAGAACTTTTGGCACCCCAATTGCAACAAAGAGGGTGTTCATAGTGAGAAGCTTGCAATTGCATATGCATTGCTTCAAGAATCTCACAAATCAAATGTTCTTGTCAGTAATAACATGCGGATGTGCAGTCAGCAAAAGTGATTTCTGAGATAAAGGAAAGAAGATCTTTGTTCAAGATGGTCAACAGCTTCACTGTTTCGAAGGAGGCTGTTGTTCTTGCAGTGATGCATGGTAATCTTACTACATTTCATAAGTTGGCTGTTTTATTGCACACTATATTTTAAGTTCAACCGTGGTTTAAAACTAGTTGCCATTCAAGAGGGACAACAGATTGTAGCCAGGTCTCAAAAAAATTTAGGCTCTGCAAGAACCATCCACTTAGTGTACAAGAAAACTATATTGAACATTTGTTAATTGGTTGCAACATATAGTGGAGGTCTTTCTAGGTGCAGTCCTCTTCATCCAGTCTTGTCCTAGTGCACGATGCAAATTCTTGTTAATGCCGGACGAAAATCTAGTCTCGTGGTGCGTGCTTTATGCATTGCCGGGAAGTGAGGTTCTTCTGCTGGACGCAAGTTTATGTCCACCTGCAGGATCTTGGCCACCCCGGGACCATGCTCTGGGGGCATGACTTGGTGACAGTGGATGTGAGACGATGGACGATAGCGGTGGAACAAGGACCGCAGCTAAGGATCCTCAAGAACGTCCAAGATGGTGGGACGAACTATAACCACGAGGGAAGTCGATCACTTTAGACCTAGATTTAAAATTTTAAAAATTCGAAGTTTGGCGCCAAACGCGACGCCAATTCTTTGTTTCAAGCTGCTGCATATATGAATCGCCACTTAAGATGAGCGATTTCATTGTCTATCTACATTATGAGAACCAGCATCAAGGTTTTTCAGAAAATTTTACACACTTAATCAATGATAAAACGTTATATGAGGCGAAGTTCATCAGTGGATCATCCACTTGAAGCTTTGGTTGTGTTTACGGCAAGTTTTGATACTATATAATGGTGGTGTTACTGCAGGCCAACAACAAGTCCAACTTTATATTCCAGATTGTCTGTGTGCAAAAAAAAAAAAAAAAAAACAGAGAGAGGAAAACGTCATTTTCTTTCCACGTTTTTATCAAGCTCGGTTTCTTTCTGTTGCGATCAAAGCCCCCTACGTAACTTGTTCTTCGAGAGATGACACCAATTGCTTTCCACGTTACAGACGAAGAAAAATCTTCTCTTTTGTCAAGCTCGGGTTTCTTTCTCTGTTTCTGTTCAGAACTCGTAGAGTTGCTCTTCACGATATAACTGTACAAGAGGAGAAAATTCACGCGGATTCTACAGCATGAAAAACCCAAGAAGGCTCTCCTGGGCTGAAACAACACGACACCCAGAGTATAAATCTCCATCAAACGATCAAATCCCTCCATCCACAAGCTTCTTCTTTTTCATATTAGTCCGATTCAATCATGGCTACATCCATTCTCTTGCGATTGGCGATGGTGGCACTTGCAGCAGTCATCCTTCCTTGCCACTCCGCCGATCCCGATCCCCTCCAGGACTACTGCGTCGCCGATCTCACCCTCAACCTCACCATCAACGGCTATCCATGCAAGGACTACTACGCCGCCACCATCGACGACTTCGTTTTCAGCCTCGCCACGCCCGCCAACACAAGCAACGCTTACGGAGCCGACAGCTTCCCAGGCATCGTGCAAACGTTCCCGGGTCTCAACACCCTCGGCTTCGCAATCCTACGCCTCGACTTCGCGGTGGGAGGCCTCATTCCTCCACACACGCACCCCCTCGCGTCCGAGCTCGTCTACGTCGAGGAGGGGAGCTTGTACGCCGGCTTTGTGACCCAAGACAACAGGCTCTTCGCCAAAATCCTCAACAAGGGCGATGTTTTGGTGATCCCCCGCGCGCTCATTCACTGGCAGCTCAATGTGGGCGACACTCCGGCCAAGGCCATCGCCACCCTCAACTCGCAGCAGAACCCTGGAGCGCAGCTTATCGCGAGGTCCATGTTCGGATCTGGGATTAGAGACGACGTGCTGGCCAAAACTTTCTTCCTTGACGAGTCCATTGTCCGCCAGCTTAAGTCGCAGTTTTCTTAAGGCTACGACGTTTCAGAAATAAAAGTTTTGTCTTGATCCTAACCACGTATCATGAAAGTTTGCATGATATTAGCGCTAAACTTGCCAAAAGGTTGGCTAAGTTTACGAGTAAACATGGGTGAGAATGGGCATTTTTTTCTGCGGGTGCCTACAAATCGGGCATTCCTTCTTCGCCCCCCATACCGCTGGTAAGCATTCCTCGCAAACGTACGAGTGGCCGCAACCATAGAGACCTCGCCGCAACGAGAACTTCTCCATGCAGATGATACAGTTCTCGTTCTTGGCGTTCTTCTCGTCCGATTTGATCGACTGGGCGAGCTCCTCCTTCTTCCGCAGCTGCTCCTCCAGGAGTTGCTTCTCCTTTGCCTGCTTCTGCTGGGCGAGCTGGAAATTCCAAGGAGAAGATGAAAGAAGAATGAGGGAAGGAAAGGGATGAGACTTGCGGTACTTACTTGCAAGCGCTCCTCGTTGTAGCGAGTTCTGAGTGCCATCATCCTCTTGTGCTGCTCTTCCTTGAGCGCCGCAAGCCTTTCTCCTATTTTCATCTGAAGGCCTTGCTCGCTGAGAAGCCTCTCAAACTTCCTGAGAACAATCAAAGAAAAGAAGAAAAACAGAGCATAAGTATCCTCGACAGAGAATGAAAACTTAACTGGAGCTCCTTGTTGCGAGAGTCTATGTTTTGCCGCAGAGCTTTTTCCTCCTCCTGGTATTTGGCGATCTCCGCGTCGGTCTCCTCACGCTTTTTCTTCAGGCTCTCGAAGAGCTCCTCGTTTTCTCGGCGGCAGCTCCGGAGCACCATCTCCCGCTGGGCCTCGAGCTGTGACCTTCGCTTCTTCATCTGGAAAACGAAAGACAAGATCAAAACAACGAGAGCCCATCGAAATCCTACCTCACGCTCATGTGCCTCCTTGATTTCTCTTCGGAGGCGTTTCTCCTTCTCCATTTCTTCCTTCTTTCTCGCCAGCTCTTCCTGCAAAATCGCTGCCTTTTGGCTGTCGTTGTGGAGCGCGCTCTCGGCGGCGTCATTCTCTTGCTGGAGTTGGATCTGGAGCTGCTTCGCGCGCTCATACTCCTACAACAACAGCGCAAAAGAAAAAAACTTGAGACAGAGGAAGATCACGAAAGAAAGAAAGAAAGAAAGAAGAAAGCTTCTATCGCACCTGGAGTGCCTCCCTCCGAGGCCTCAAAACTTTCTCCTCGAGGCTCTCGATCGTCCAGTTCCGGAGTGCTTTCTTGTTTGAATCCAGGCGCTTCATATCCTCTGGAGTAGCGAGGTATCCATAGAGTTGCCCATTCCTCCTGGACTCGCGACGAGGAGCGAACGCATCATGGACTCTCACGGCATTCTCATACCCGATCTCGGTGCTCGGAAAGACCAAGAACGCGCGGCTAGTCTGGCCCTCGTAGTTGTACAAGGGAATCAAACGCCGATCCTCGACCTTGATCACCTCTTCGATCGCTGCGCGAATTTCTCTGTTCTCCATACCTCTGTGCTTCCTGAGCTGCCGATCGTATGTCGTGGCCACATTCTCGATCACGACCACGGGCGGCCAAGGGATTTTCCTGTCGCGCTCTCCAATCGGCGGAAGATCTCCCATCGGAGAGAGGGCGAGACAAAGAACCCTAGCAAAAAATTTCCCTCTTTCTTGGGAACCAAAAATTAGGAATCTTCCATGGCGGATGACTGCTGCGATCGCAGGGCTAGAAGAGCGGCATTTCCTGGCGGATCTCGTGAGGGCTGCTGGCCGTGGCAAGGATCTCCTCCAGGCCCGGCGATTGCACGCCAGATTCTTCCCCGACAAGAGTGCCGCCAAGGACATTTTCTTCGCGAATCTCCTCATCCAGATGTATGGGCGCTGCAGCAGCGCTGCGGACGCGCGATCACTCTTCGACGCCATGGATCGCCGAAATTTCTACTCCTGGAACATGATGATCCAGGCCAGCCGCGCCGCCGGGCACACCTCCAGCGCCGCCGAGCTCTTCGATCGCATCCCCCAGCGCGACGCCGCGACCTGGAACGTGATGATCCACGCCTATGCCGCGCAGGGTTCAATCGACGCCGCGGCTCGGCTCTTCGATCGAATGCCCCATCGCGACGTCTGTTCTTGCAACGCACTGGTGATCGCATTTGCCAGGGAGGGGAATATCGCGAGATCCAAGAGCCTCTTCGATCGAATGTCGCAGTGGAATCTCGTGTCCTGCAATGCGGTCGTGCAGTCCTACATCCGGAGCTCCAATCTCGATCAGGCGAAGAAGATCTTCGATTCCATGCCGGATCACGACGTGGTCTCTTGGAACTCGCTCATCACACTCTATGCCCAGTCCGGGCATCTTGAGCTTGCCAAGAACACGTTTGATGGGATGGAGTTCCGCGATCTTGTCTCGTGGAACGCGATGATCGCCGCGTATGTGGCGGCATCTCGGATCCGTGGCTGCCAGGCTATGTTCGATCGCGTCCCAGAGCGCCAGGCCGTGACGTGGAACTCGATGATCACAGCGCTCGCGCACCAGGGGCAAATTGAGGCAGCAAAATCGATCTTTGATCGAATGCCGGCCAAGGATCTCGTGTCGTGGACGAATCTACTGCTGTGCTACGCGCAGAATGGATTCCTGGAAGAATCGGACAGGGCGTTCCATCGTCTCCCCTTCACCAACGCAGTGGCACGAACGACGATGATATTGGTGAATGCTCAAAGAGGGGATTTGGCCACCGCGAGAGAGATCTTTGATACCATGCCGGATCAAGACGTGGTGACGTGGACGGCGATGGTGCAGGCTTACGGCCACCAAGGCTTCGTCGCCCTCGCAAAGAACATCTTCGATAAAATCCCGGAGAAGAATCCAGTCTCGTGGAGCGTGATGCTCCTCGCGTATGCCGAGAATGGGCATTTTGACGAGGCCGTGAGGTTCTTCCACGAGATCCCGCGCAAGACCATCGTCTGCTGGACAGCACTCACGCAAGTTTACGTCAACTTGGGTGATCTCGGCGCCGCCAGGAGCGTGTTTGAAAGCATGAAGATGCGCAGCTTGGTTTCCTGGACGACCATGGTGTGGGCTTATGCGCAAAACGGGCACTACGATCGAGCAGTGGAAGTCTTCCAGCTTATGAATCTCGATGGCGTCAAGCCGGACGAGGTGACGTTCCGGAGCGTTCTAACTTCGTGCAGCCATGTCGGTCTCGTGGCCGAGGGCTGGGAACACTTCGTCTCGATCAGCCAAGACTTTGGGATGGTGCCAAGGAGAGAACACTACTGCTGCATGATCGACATCCTGGGTCGATCCGGAAGAACTCTAAGCGCCGAGGAGCTCGTCAACTCGATGCCATTTCTTCCGGACGTGGTGATATGGATGTCGCTGCTGGGAGCTTGTCGCCTCCACCGCCATGCCGACTGTGCTGAGAGAGTCGCAGCGAAGATCTTCGAGCTGGAGCCCGGCTACACGACTGCCTACGTCGTTCTCTCGAACATGTACTCGTCGATCGGGAGGAGGGACAAGGTATCGATGATCCGGAACCTGATGAAGTCGAGGCGAGTGAGAAAAGTTCCGGGGATCAGCAACATCGAAGTTGGCAGTGAAGTTCACAGTTTCGTGGTGGGGGATCTTTCGCATCCTCGCAGCGAAGACATCGTCGTGGAGCTCCAGAGGCTGGCGAGAGAAATGCGAGACGCTGGCTACGTTCCCGACACAAAGGAGATCTTGCATGACGTTGGCGAGGAGCAGAAGGAGGAGCTGCTGCACTACCACAGCGAGAAAATGGCTGTGGCTTTTGGATTGATAAGCACGGAGCAAGGGTCGCCGCTGAGGATCCTCAAGAACTTGCGGGTGTGCGGGGATTGCCACTCGGCTATCAAGTTTGTGTCCAAGATGGTGGGACGATCTATAACCGTGAGAGACGCTAGCCGGTTCCATCACTTTAGCAACGGGACGTGCTCTTGCGGAGATTACTGGTGACTAAATTTTGCTCGGCCTATTTCGAGAGATCGATGCTGAGCGGAGGAGCTTTTCCAGCGCATCTTTGCTTTTCTGGTTGCTTCATCGCGGCTACTTTCTTGCAGCGGAATGCAATCAACAAACTTGCATAGACTCCAAAGACAAGGAGAAAAGAATCTTATACACGGGACAATCTTATACAAAGTTGGATCGGACTTGGTTGATGCTACGCTCGTCCAAGAAGAAAGTCTTCTCAAGCACCTCGTCCGGCACCTCTGGTCGGGATCCAAACATGGATCTCGCAATGAACTGGATTCCGGGGAGCTGGGAGTTGAGAGTGGCGATGATCTTCGCGTTGGTCCTTCCCACGTTCATCTGCCAGTGGATTAATCCGCGAGGAATCACCATGACTTCTCCCCTGTTCATCACTCGGGCAAACAGGCGATTGTCCGCTGTGACGATGGCAGCGTAGACGGTCCCTTCTTCTACGTAGACCATCTCTGAGGCTCTGGGATGGGTGTGCGGAGGGATGATCCCTTCCGGGAGAAAGTCGAGCCTAGCGATGGAGAGACCCAAAGTGTTGAGGCCCGGGAATCTCACCACGGTTCCAAAGATTGCGCCGGAGCGATTGATGTTTGTGGTGTTGGAGGAGTTGACGATTCCGCTGTAGATGAAATCGTCCACCGTGACTGTGGACGAGTTCCTGCATGGAAATCCATTGATCCCGGGGACGACGTTGAGATCTCCGATGCAAAAGTCCTGGAGTGGATCTGGATCGGATGAAACTACTGCGCACACGAAGAATGCAAGCAAAGCAATCGAGACAGCGTGAGATTTGGAGAGAGCCATAGTCGAAGAACTGGATGAAATCCTTGATCGGAGACGAGTCGATTGCTGGATTTGTGATGAAGAACCAAATGGCCTTGAATGATATATATATACCTGGAAAACGTGATAGTACTTGGATGCTGCGCGTACACACTAATTTGGAAAGCCGAGTGAGCCACCATGTTGGAACACGAAGTTTCAATCACGTTTTTGGTCAAGGTCAGCGGGAAAAGTAAGTACAAGTCGCATTTTGAATAACTGGAATATATATTTTACTTTGCTTTTAAAAACATATTTCTCACCAGCTACGAAGTCCAATGATCGATGACCAAGGTAACGTTCAATGATCGATGACGATCAATGACCAAGGTAAAGTATGCATACATTAAGCTTCGTGACCCATTGACACCCAATTGACAATGAGATTCAAACAAGCGTCCAACGAAGTAGACTAATTTTTATCCAGTGGAAGTTGTAACGTATCCAATATCTTGCTCCGAACCTCCAATGTTCATACGTGCGGATAATACCAGCGACACCACAAGCAAGCAGGTGACCCGACCACAGCGAGCTTTTCCCAACGGACGAGTACTGGGGATCCATCTGTACAGGGGGACTGTATACGTAATGTGCTTGTAACAATACGACAACGACGTTAGAGCTCATGCAGTTGAGCTCTGGAAAGACAGTTTGGGAGATGGTGGACTCGCATCTTTTGTGTTACAAGGGGTACGAGACATTGTACTACACAGAGTCGGGAGGTCGCCGGGACAGTTGAACGAGTACAAAAGTTCAAGGCAGTGAGCCGCTGTTTCTCCTATGACATCAGGAAGACGCCCGGTGACGCTGGAGAAGATCCAATCCTTGCAATGAAATTCTTCTTTTCCTTGGCTGTCTACCACCAACCTCTAGGACTCATTCTCACTCAAGCTGATGGTAAGGCAGTCGGTGACGGTATCTGGTGCGAGATCGAGGCCGCCGCCGAGACTCGGATCAGCCACCAGCTCCCATGGTATCCTCCACTTTTGGCCGTCATGCCAGAGCATAATCGTCTGAACACTGAACATCAAACAGTTCCTCTTACACTTTCCTCATGCTTGTTCTGACTCGCCATTGCATCGATATCCTGCAACAACAATACATAAGCTGAAGAGAGCGCGACGGAGTCATACCCGGTGGGAAAGCCGAAGCAGCAAGGAATGGATTACTGCCTGAAGGGTCGAATTCCTCGTTGGCAGAAGTTTTGCAAGGCATTGATGCGGCTCCAAAAGAAGAAGAGTAAGCGATCAAAAGTGAAGAGTTTCATGGGACTGGACCCGCGAAATGTTGATATTTGCAGGAAACTCGTGTTTATTATTTTAACACAAGGTTACAGACGGGAAAGTGTCTCAACTTCTTCATATCAACCTCCAATGAAGTCTAAAATTAAAACATCTGAAGGATGCCTCTTTTGATTTGATCTATCCATCTATATGCAACCTTTACTGGATCTGAAGCTTTTTGCTTTATTTATGCTTGTAAATGTACACCTGAGAAAGAGCCCATGTGTCTGGCTATTTTCTTGATAGAATCCAGGAAAAGAATTTTGTAAACGGGGCAAAATCTCATACGAAGTTGGATCGGACTTGGTTGATGCCACGCTCGTCCAAGAAGAAAGTCTTCTCGAGCACCTCATCCGGCACCTCTGGTCGGGATCCAAACATGGATCTCGCAATGAACTGGATTCCGGGGAGCTGGGAGTTGAGAGTGGCGATGATCTTCGCGTTGGTCCTTCCCACGTTCATCTGCCAGTGGATTAATCCGCGAGGAATCACCATGACTTCTCCCCTGTTCATCACTCGGGCAAACAGGCGGTTGTCCGCTGTGACGATGGCAGCGTACACGGTCCCTTCTTCTACGTAGACCATCTCTGAGGCTCTGGGATGGGTGTGTGGAGGGATGATCCCTTCCGGGAGAAAGTCGAGCCTAGCGATGGAGAGACCCAAAGTGTTGAGGCCCGGGAATCTCACCACGGTTCCAAAGATTGCGCCGGAGCGATTGATGTTTGTGGTGTTGGAGGAGTTGACGATTCCGCTGTAGATGAAATCGTCCACCGTGACTGTGGACGAGTTCCTGCATGGGAATCCATTGATCCCGGGGACGACGTTGAGATCTCCGATGCAAAAGTCCTGGAGTGGATCTGGATCGGATGAAACTACTGCGCACACGAAGAATGCAAGCAAAGCAATCGAGACAGCGTGAGATTTGGAGAGAGCCATAGTTGAAGAACTGGATGAAATCTTTGATCGGAGACGAGTGGATCGCTGGATTTGTGATGAAGAACAATTACCTTGAATGATATATATACCTCGAAAATGTGATAGTACTTGGATGCTCCGCGTACACACTAATTTGGAATGACGAGTCAACGGCCGCCCCGTGGAACGCGAAGTTTGAATTACATTTTAGGTCAAAGGTCAATATAAGTACACTCATTTTGAGTAACGGTATTTTACAAAAATTAAAAATGAATTTTGGAAATTAAGCAGCATGAGCATTAGTATTGGTTTTTCAATCTATTCATTCCTCTCAATGGAGTGTATACCTCTGCCCTGGCAGTTCAAATTCCAAAAAATGGTGAGAAAAGGCAGCTCTTCAATTATCCATTAGAATTATCATTTACCCTTAAGTTTTTCACTTGTTTATTTCCAAAAAGCTGTCAAGAACAGCGAAGCCAGCGGCGACGCCTTTCCATGACTTTGAGTCAGTCACGGTGCCAGTATGATTCATTGAACGCTAACTGAACTTTATTCTGAAGCGCAGCTCTCTTCCAATGGAACGCTTTCTGTGTGAGTGCAATCTTTGTTTGGATATATGCTTCGTCCACTTATAATTATGCTTTTCTCTTTTCTTTGTTTTGCAGTGATGGGCATCTTGTCGCAGTTGCCTACTACAGATCAGGCTACGCACCCGATGATCCTTCCGAGCTGGTATATGTCAGTCATTCGTGGCTATTTCTTTATTTTCGTTTTGTTTCGCTACAAGGGATGGCACGCGAGATTGCTGCTGGAGCGTTATAAAATGTCCATGGATCTCATACCACTTAGCTGGAACCAAGAAAGTGCAACAAGAGCTTGCCAAGCCGAATGTATTAGAAAGGTACTGCCATCCTTTGTTTTCAGCACACTTCAAGGTTTGTTCAAGACAAGAAAAACGCCGCAGAGATCATTCGTGAGTTCTTTGCGGGGCTGTAGGGCCTCAACGAAGAGAGTTACGAGATCATCAACAAACAGCCCGAGCTATTTGTTCTAAAACCTCAATGCGAAGGCGGTGGTGAGTTTAGCCTTTCCAAGTTTCTCTTCATCGTTTTCGCTTCTCACAGGAAACACCATCTATGGCAGCGCCGTGAAAGCGAAGCAGCACGGAGGAGCCGGGCTTTCGGCTTATATCCTCATCTTCCCACCGACGTACATGTCTTATCTCATGTGAGGAGGAGCGGAGCGCCGAGAAAACAGTCTCGGAGAGCTGGGAATCTTTAGCGCAGACCTGTTTCTTCTTTTTTCCTCTCTCAATTCTTTGCAGATTCTTTGCAGGAATGGCGAAAGAGAAATCACCAACAAGGATTGTGGCTACTTGCTGAGAACAAAAGCCTCGAAAGTAGACAAAACATCAACGAACAGAGAAAAATGATACAGCTCGTGAATGTTACACGACACACCCTCGCCACGTGTCCATTAGGGTTTTCCTGTTCTGTCCGCTAGCGCGGTGCGCTTTGATCCCGATTTGTCTCATGGTATCGGAGCTGGGATAGTGCTATGGAAGGAAAGCCATCCATCCGCGAGTTTGATGGAGAAGGGTTTGAGGGATTCAAGATCTATCTTGAATCCTATCTCTTGTTTCATGGTTTGTTGGGGATTGTAGATGGGACAGAGTCATCGCCGGCTCCAGGCTCTAGCGCTGCTGAGGTGCGTGATTGGAACCTTTGGGATTCCAAGGCTAGAGGGAGTATTGCGATGTGCTTGTCTTCAAATGTCCTCTTTGCTGCCCTATCGATTCCAAAGTCCACTGCGGCAGAGCTTTGGAAGTGGCTGAGTGACACTTATGGCACCAAGAGTGAAATGGATGTCTTCAACATCCATTCACAAATGGATTCCTTAAGGCTAGAGGAAAATGGCAGTATCCAGCCTCACACTGCCAAGCTCCAAGGCTTCTTCACACAACTTGCGGCTGCTGGGGCGAAGCACTATCTCACGGATGAGCAGCAGAGGCTGTGGCTCTACAGTTCCTTGCCAGCGAGCTGGAAGAATGCAGTTGAGAGCCTGCTTCTCCAACCAGGGATGACTTGGGCAGATGCCGTGAGGAGTCTTTGCAACATTGAGGCCATGCGAAGTGAGAGAGCTGAAATGCCATAGGCTATGTATGCTTCGCAGGCTTCTGGTGATGCCCAGGTGGCAAAACCGCATGCAGCTGCAAATGCCCAGAAAGGGCAAAATTCCGTGGCATCTGGGCGTGCCAAGCCTAGACTTGCTAAGAATCAGTGTGCTCGCTGCTTGGAGATGGGCCACTGGGCTCGAGATTGCCTTGCTCCCAAGCCTGTCAAGCGACTAGCTACGTTGGCAAAAGCCAATTTGCTTGAGCGTGATGGAATTGCTACTGCAAATGAGGCTGTTGGGGAGCTCTACAATGCAGAAGCATTTGCCGCACCAAGCTGGTGGCTCTTAGACTCTGGTTGTACTAATCTTATGAGCAATAAGAAGAGTCTTTTTGAGTGTTATCAGCCGAGCATTGGAAAACGTGGTGTTCATTTAGGTGACAATACCACCATCCCTGTGGACGGCATCGGGCAATTCCGGCTCTCACTCGATCATGGGAGGACCATGGCCTTTGATGGTGCCATGCATGTTTCCACCTTGCGACGAAACTTAATGTCCGTCGCCAAGATATGTGATCAAAATGTGGTGGTAGTCTTTGATGCAAAGGGAGTCTCTTTAGTTGACTCTAGCGACTTTCATATGCTTGGTACACAATTGCTTCGTGGGTCACGCATTGGGGACTTGTATGAGATTACTGCTGTCGACCCAGTTCAGGCCTTTTAGACTGTGGAGGCAGATTCTCGTGCGGAGCTTTGGCATAAAAGACTCGATCATGTTCATTATCAATCTCTTCAACGGATGAAGTCCCAAGATATTGTTATTGGCTTGGATTTCCGACGTATCCCATCTACATTTTATGAAGCTTGTGTTTTAGGCAAGCATCACCGCCGGAATTTCTCACCGAGTAAGCATCGAGCACTTGGACTTCTGGACTTAGTCCATTCTGATCTTTGCGGCCCTATGGACATGCCAAGTCACGATGGCGCAAGATATTTCATCACATTCATTGATGACTATAGCCGTCGAACATGCATCCACTTCTTGATGCATAAGAGTGATGCAGTTGCTACCTTTCAAACGTACAAGGCGTATGTTGAAAACCTCCTTGGTCAAAAGATAAAAGCTCTTCAAGTTGATGGTGGTGGTGAATACCTCAACAATGAGCTTCAAGGCATTTATTGTGATGTAGGCATACGCCTGCAAGCTATAGCCCGCTACACCCCCCAGCAAAATGGTGTTGCAGAAAGGAAGAATTGTACTCTTGTCAATGCTGCTCGTGCTTTGTTAGCTGATGCACATCTTGACAAGATGTTTTGGCAAGAGGCCATAGCCACAGCAATGCCTGTACAAAATCGCCTTGCCACGGCTGCTTTGGATGGAAAAACCCCTGAGGCATTTTGGACAGGTTCTACTCCTGATGTGTCCCACTTTCGGGTCTTCGGTTGTGCAGCATACACACATACCCCTGATCAATTTCGGAAAAAGCTAGATCCCAAGAGTAAAAAATTCATCTTCGTGGGATATGCACAAGACGACACTATCGGGAGAAAAGCTTACAAGTTGTGGGATCTTGCATCTTATAAGGCTATTGTAAGCACTGATGTCATGTTCAATGAAGATGACTTTCCCATGTGTACAGAGGCTCTTCAAGATCCTTCCTTTATTGCTGAGACTCGACTTGTTCCTTTGATCCCACTTATGGGAGATGGTCCACTCTTGCCTCCGCCTCAAGATCCTATTCATGAGTTGCCACCAGAGATTCCATTGGGGAATCCTCCACTTCTGGACATGCTTGAACCAGCTGATGCTCCTCCAGTCGAGGACAGGCCTCCGACACCTTCACCACCTTGTCGACGTCGTGGCATGCCTGATCCGATGCCAGTTCTTGATCACCCCCGGGAACGTCGGCCCTCGTTAAAAGTCTGGGAAAATGCTGAAGCAGATGCTGCAGAGCTTGATGACTTTTGTGGCCTTGTTGACATCGGCATTCCCATGACTTATGATGAGGCCATCTCAGGACCTGAGGCTTCATCTTGGATGGAAGCTATTGCGGAAGAAGTTTCTTCCATTCGGGTTAACGGAACTTATGTTCCAGTTGATTCAGCGCCACCGGGACGACGTGTTTTGGATCCAAAATGGATTTTTTCCAAAAAGTATGGGAAAGATGGCCAGGTTGTACGTTATAAGGCACGGTTGGTTGTTTGCGGTTTTCGCCAAGTCCATGGCCTTGACTACGATGAAACATTCTCACTGGTTGTAAAAATGGCCAGCCTCCGTACTCTTTTTGCCCTTGCAGCTACTCGCAAATGGCAAGTCCACCATATGGACGTCAAAACTGCATTTCTGAATGGGGATTTGCAAGAGGACATCTATATGCATATACCTCCTGGTTTTGAGGATGATGTTACCCCTAGTGGCCCTATATAGCAATTGCGAAAAGCTTTGTATGGCTTAAAACAGAGCTCCCGTATTTGGTATCAAAAATTTGATGCCACCCTACGTGCTCAAGGCTTTCGTCGCTGTCATGCTGATCACAATGTGTATGTCAATGGTCATGCTGAGTGCATGGTTATTGTGGCCCTCTACGTTCATGATTTGCTCATCATGGGTGATGACAACGATGCCATTGATGCTCTGAAAGATGCTCTCAGCCAGCAATTCCAGATGAAGGACCTTGGCCAAGTCTCCTACTTTCTTGGCTTTGAAGTCACACGTGATCCTGATTCTGGTGGCTACATGCTTAGCCAACGACGTAAAGTCGAAGTCTTGCTGGATCGGTTTGGTATGTGTGATTGCCACCTTGTCAAGACCCCGATGGTCGTTGGTGCTATCAACCTCGTACTTGAGCAGTCTGGTGAGTCTCTACCCACTGGGACTCCCTATCGGCATCTCATTGGTTGCCTCACATATTTGGCCCTGATGACTCGCCCTAACATCACATATGCAGCTATTGCCTTGAGTTAGTACAACACATCACCAACCACCATACATTGGCAAGCTGCCAAGCATATCGTGAGATACTTCCGGGGCACTATGGACTATGGCATTGCTTATTCAGGGGGTGATGCATCATTAGCATGCTACACGGATGCTAGTTTTGCCAACAACAAAGGTCATCGCTCGACTTCTGGCATTTGCCTTTCCTTCTCAGGAGGTGCCATCACGTGGGCCTCCAAGTGACAATCTGTGGTGGCCCTTTCTAGTGCAGAAGCAGAGTACATCGCACTCACTACTGGTAGCAGGAACGTGGTCTGGGCTCGAGGGTTACTTGCTGAGCTGGGATGCGTACAAGCTGGCCCCACTACTTCTTGGTGTGACAACCAAAGCAGCATTGCCATGTCCAAGAACCCCGTCCACCATGCCCGCTCGAAGCACATTGAAGTCCAATTTCACTACGTACGTGAGTTGGTTGACAATGGCACCCTAGCCATCCAACATCTCGAGACACAGGATATGCCAGCCGATCTTCTCACTAAGCCGTTGGGGCCACACCAGTTTCAGCTCCTACATGACAGATTTGGTTTGGTGAGTGGCTTCGGTTTGGGGGGGAGTGTTACACGACACACCCTCGCCACGTGTCCATTAGGGTTTTCCTGTTCTGTCCGCTAGCGCAGTGCGCTTTGATCCCGATTTGTCTCAGTGAAGATATTTCTCCAGCCAGAACTATTCCGCTCGTTTGGTTGTACAACAAAGAGCACAGCTGTGCTGGTTTCAGTAGCTTTTAAAAGCATGCATCCACTTACCTCGTGTTCCCAAATTCTTTCCAAGTAAGTCCCAAGACATCACCAAATGCAACAGCTGACTTGTGCTCGGGAACTCATCTGGGGTGCTCTTTTAACGACGTCCATGAGAAAACGACCAAAAAATTATCTACAACTGTGAAACATGAGTGAAGACCTGTGCATCTGACTTCCAAGTGAACCAATGCCAGCGAAAGAAGATGAGATTGTGTTTATCTCTACATTCCAAGTTGTATGTTCTAAAATGCATAGATCAAGTCAGGAGTAGAATCAGAATGAGGAAACTCTGAATCTTACGTGCACAATGCCTTCAGGTCGTACCTTCCAGCGAATGTCGAGCAGTTTGGGATAAAAAAAAAAGTGAGCAACAAGAATCGAAGTACAGAAAATATACAGACTTTGCGGAAATCACTGTCGGAGCTCACGAGAGTGTTAAAATGCGATCCAAGGTTAAGAGCTTGCTGGAAGAGAGCCTCGGGAAAGGGAGAAGGAAGAAGCGGTGCATGAACAACAACACCTAGATTTACAGAGCCCTGCGCAACAGAAAAGTATGAAAAAAAAGAAGATTTCGACCGACCATGGGTTGTAAGGATTGGTAACCACGTTAAACCTTTGTCTCTTCTGATTCGAGCCATATAAATGCATCTTGTGCACGCATTTATCAGCGAGGAGTGATATGGCCAAGAGCAATTTTCTAGCGATGGGGTAGCTCTTGGCTATTTTTTTGCAACGACAAACTTGGATAGATTCCAAGAGAAGAATTTTATAAACAAAATGTCATACGAAGTTGGATCGAACTTGGTTGATGCCACGCTCGTCCAAGAAGAAAGTCTTCTCGAGCACCTCGTTCGGGACCTCTGGCCGAGATCCAAACATGGATCTTGCAATGAACTGGATTCCGGGAAGCTGGGAGTTGAGCGTGGCGATGATCTTCGCGTTGGTCCTTCCTACGTTCATCTGCCAGTGGATTAATCCGCGAGGAATCACCATGACTTCTCCCCTGTTCATCACTCGGGCAAACAAGCGATTGTCCGCTGTGACGATGGCGGCATAGACGGTCCCTTCTTCTACATAGACCATCTCCGAGGCTCTGGGATGGGTGTGTGGAGGGATGATCCCTTCCGGGAGAAAGTCGAGCCTAGCGATGGAGAGACCCAAAGTGTTGAGGCCCGGGAATCTCACCACGGTTCCAAAGATTGCGCCGGAGCGATTGATGTTTGTGGTGTTGGAGGAATTGACGATTCCGCTGTAGATGAAATCGTCCACCGTGACTGTGGACGAGTTCCTGCATGGAAATCCATTGATCCCGGGGACGACGTTGAGATCTCCGATGCAAAAGTCCTGGAGTGGATCTGGATCGGATGAAACTACTGCGCACACGAAGAATGCAAGCAAAGCAATCGAGACAGCGTGAGATTTGGAGAGAGCCATAGTCGAAGAACTGGATGAAATCTTTGATTGGAGACGAGTGGATCGCTGGATTTGTGATGAAGAGCCACTACCTTGAATAATAAATATACCTCGAAAATGTGATAGTACTTAGATGCTTCGCGTAGACACTAATTTGGAAAGCCGAGTGAGCCGGCCGCCCCCTTAGCCGCCATCTGGAACGCGAAGTTTGAAATACGTTTTTGGTCAAAGGTTACAAGTCTCCTCATTTTGAAAATAGCTCTCTAAACACGCTTGGAATTTTGGAAATTAAGCAGCTTTTGTTCTAGAGTACATTGCAGATCAAATTCCTTCACCAAAAAATGGTGAGAAAGCGCAACTCTTCAAGAAGTGAAATTATACGTTAGAAATTTATCATTTACCCTTAAGTTTTTCACTTGTTTATTTAGAGATAGACGCTGTCAAGCGGTGTCGACGCTTTCCTCATCTACTTTCGAGGCTTTTGTTCTCAGCAAGTAGCCACAATCCTTGTTGGCGATTTGTCTTTCGTCATTCCTTGCAAGAAATTGAGAGAGTAGACAGGTATGTGCTAAAGATTCCCAGCTCCGAGACTGCTTTCTCGGCGCTCCACTCGCCTCCTCGCACGGGATAAGACGTGTACGCCGGTGGGAAGATGCGCTGCATGAGGATATAAGCCGAAAGCCCGGCACCTCCGTCTCCCAGTAGCTTCGCTTTCACGGCGCTGCCATATTTGTTGTTCCTGTGAGACGCGAAAACGATGAGAGAAACTTGGAAAGGCAAAACTCACCACCGCCCTTCGCATTGAGGGTTTAGAACAAATAGCTCTGGCTGTTTGTTGCTGATCTCGTAACTCTCTTCGTTGAGGCCCCACAGCCCCGCAAAGAACTCACAAATGATCTCCGCGGCGTTTTTCTTGTCTTGAACAAACCTTGGAGTGCTGAAACAAAAGGATGGCGGTACCTTTCTAATACATTCGGCTTGGCAAGCTCTTGTTGCACTTTTTTGGTTCCAGCTAAGTGGCATGAGATCCATGGAATTTTATAACGCTCCAGCAGCAATCTCGCGTGCCATTCCTTGTAGCGAAACAAAACGAAAATAAAGAAATAGCCACGAATGACTGACATATACCAGCTCGGAAGGATCCTCCGTGGGTGCATAGCCTGATCTGTAGTAGACAACTGCGACAAGATGCCCATCACTGCGAAACAAAAGAAAAGGATCCAAACAACGATTGCACTCACACAGAAAGCGTTCCATTGGAAGAGAGATACGCTTCAGATTAAAGTTCAGTTAGCGTTTGACGAATCATGCTGGCACCGTGAGTGACGCAAAGTCAAGGAACAAAACATCAACGAAGAGAGAAAATAGATACAGCTCGTGAAGATATTTCTCCAGCCAGAACTGATCATACATATTTGGTTGTACAACAAAGAGCACAGCTGTGCTGGATTCAGTAGCTTTTAAAAGACCTCGTGTTCCCAAATTCTTTCCAAGCAAGTCCCAAGACATCACCAAATGCAACAGGGACGTCGTTAAAAGAGTTGAGCATCTTGACCCCAGAAGAGTTCCCGAGAACATGAGAAAAATTATCTACAACTATGAAACACGCAACAGAAAAGTATGAAAAAAAGAGAGGTTTTGATGAAAGGATTTGCGGAGGTAACCACGCCCAGCATGAGTTTGAACCCTCTTAGTGGTATCCATTCAACGCAGACTTTTTCTGTGAGATCTGTGAAGTTAGCAAAGGAACCTTTCTCTCTGTTGATTGGTCACTATCTATGTGTGCGATGATCTTGGCTATTTTCAGAAAAGAATTTTATAAACGGGGCAAAATCTCATACGAAGTTGGATCGGACTTGGTTGATGCCACGCTCATCCAAGAAAAAAGTCTTCTCGAGCACCTCGTCGGGAACCTCTGGCCGAGATCCAAACATGGATCTTGCAATGAACTGGATTCCGGGAAGCTGGGAGTTGAGAGTGGCGATGATCTTCGCGTTGGTCCTTCCCACGTTCATCTGCCAGTGGATTAATCCGCGAGGAATCACCATGACTTCTCCCCTGTTCATCACTCGGGCAAACAGGCGATTGTCCGCTGTGACGATGGCGGCGTAGACGGTCCCTTCTTCTACGTAGACCATCTCCGAGGCTCTGGGATGGGTGTGTGGAGGGATGATCCCTTCCGGGAGAAAGTCGAGCCTAGCGATAGAGAGACCCAAAGTGTTGAGGCCTGGGAATCTCACCACGGTTCCAAAGATTGCGCCAGAGCGATTGATGTTTGTGGTGTTGGAGGAGTTGACGATTCCGCTGTAGATGAAATCGTCCACCGTGACTGTGGACGTGTTCCTGCATGGGAATCCATTGATCCCGGGGACGACGTTGAGATCTCCGATGCAAAAGTCCTGGAGTGGATCTGGATCGGATGAAACTACTGCGCACACGAAGAATGCGAGCAAAGCAATCGAGACAGCGTGAGATTTGGAGAGAGCCATAGTTGATGCTCAAGAGGGAAGAACTACTGGATGAATCTTTGAGACGAGTGGATCGCTGGATGTGATGAATAACGATTGCCTTGAATGATATATATATACCTAGAAAATGTGATGCTACTTGGATGCTGCGCGTACACACTCCTCGTGAGAGTGGGAAGAATTTGAAAGCCGAGTGAGCCACCATACTGGAACCGATGAATCACATTTTTGGTCAAGGTGGAGAAAGTCAAACATTGACTAAGGATAGTTTATTTAATAATACACTATCAGTTAGAGTTCAAAGCTGACCCTCGAACCTGCTGCCACCTGGAAGCTGATCGATGTCCACAAGGTAAACAAAGTTCCTACTTTGGTAGCAATCAATGTGGTATGCTTGCCCGATGCTCTGTTGTGGTTTGATATGCTTCCCGGAGAGGAGATACTGGCCAAGGGCGATGACAAATCTTGCAAGGCTCAGGGCATTTGCCTCTCTCCTTTGCACTGCAGCTCCAAAGAAGACCATAGTACTGTGCTTATGGAACGAGCTAGCAGTTGCCTCATTGATTTATTTATTGATGCGCTCAATTTTGCGTACGCCTAGCAGCCCAACGTCATGGCCGACACTGTAAGGGATCTCGCTTCGCTCAAGGCTTTTCTGGAGGATCGGATGGGTTTGGGCGAGGATATCATTCATTGTCGAAGGTGTTGAGGGATTGGACCCAGTGTAGTGGAGGTATGATGCCAAGGAGCGCCTCCAACGAGTCGATAATGGATGTTCTCTGTAGCTACAAGGTGATCTTAGGGATGTCGTCTGATGCTATGCACTACAGGAAATACGGAAGGGCAGGATCAAAGTCTTAAGAACAGAAGGCTTCACCAAGGTTTGTGGTCGCTTCACTTGCTGCATGTCACTAATAGGTTGTGATGTTTACGTTTGGAGGAACAAGTGCAAGCAGGCTTCGGTTCTAGGTGCCGTTGTATAGCTGATGACCCGTGTAGACGTCAACAAGTGGAGTATTATGCAGCCAATCATCCGCACTCGCTGAATATCCTAGACAGGGTCTGCATAGAAGTTGCTACTGCGAAACTGTGTGATCTTATAGATGTGGATCCCATGCCGGACGCTGGCCTGAATCGCCCGACTTGACACTGAAGGAAGTTGGCAAGCTGTTAGACATAAAGGAAGACTGGGATTCAGTCATTTCCACTTTTGTAGACCATGGGCTTTTTTATGCTGTGAGGCTGTTAATAAGGGATCTGGAGATTGTGGGCGACTTTAGCATCGACAGGCAAGTGGATTCGAGATATGCGTACAAGGATAAGTTCTGTACCCCCTTCTTGCAGCAGATTTACGTGGAGGAATTTAAAAAGAAACAAGAGAAATGATAATCTTGGGACCAACTTGTAGAAGCATCTCCAATTGCCGGGGTAGACATTGAAGATTGAAAATTGAAAATTGAAAATCATCGGAAAAATGAGACGAGTTTTTTTAATTTTGTCCTTCTGCCAAAACAAAAAAGGCAGCAAAATCGACATTCGGGCCAAGGCATGACCAAGACGTTGTGATGACCATTCTTGTTGCCTGTAATGCCGGACAGAAATCGAGTCTCGTGGTGCATGCTTTTTGCATTGCGGGAGCATTTCAACGAGGCAGTGAGGTTCTTCTACTGGACGAAAGTTTATGTTTATGTCCACTTGGATGATCTTGGCTGCCCCAGGAGCATGATTTGGGGGCATGACTTGGTGACAGAGGCGATAGGTGGAACAAGGACCGCAGCTGAGGATCCTCAAGAACATCCAAGATGGTGGGAGGGAAGTCCATCACTTTGGCAATGGGAGTGGAGATTACTGGAGCCCAAATTTTCCAGCGAAAAACCCGTGGCCCTTTTCTTGCAATGAGATCGACAGCTTTGACTTTTCTCGTTGACCTTAAATCTGATGGTGTTCCATTATGGTGGCTCACTCGCTTTCAAATTCTTCTGTGTGTATGGGAAACATCCATGTAGCGTCGCAATTCCTAGTATATATATATCATTCAAGGGAATGATTTCTCATCACAAATCCAGTAGTACATTCATCTCCGAGAACTTAATATCGAGATTTTCCTCTTTCCTCGATCTGGGCTTGGATATGGCTTTCTCCAGTTCTCACGCCCTCTCGATTTCTTTGCTAGCATTCTTCGTGTGCGCAGTAGTTTCATCCGATCCAGATCCACTCCAGGACTTTTGCATCGGAGATCTCAACGTCGTCCCCGGGATCAATGGATTCCCATGCAGGAACTCGTCCACAGTCACGGTGGACGATTTCATCTACAGCGGAATCGTCAATTCCTCCAACACCACAAACATCAATCGTTCTGGCGCCATCTTCGGAACCGTGTTGAGATTTCCAGGCCTCAACACTTTGGGTCTCTCCATCGCTAGGCTCGACTTTCTCCCGGAAGGGATCATCCCCCCACACACCCATCCCAGAGCCTCGGAGATGGTCTACGTAGAAGAAGGGACCGTGTACGCTGCCATCGTCACAGCGGACAATCGCCTGTTTGCCCGAGTGATGAACAGGGGAGAAGTCATGGTGATTCCTCGCGGATTAATCCACTGGCAGATGAACGTAGGAAGGACCAACGCGAAGATCATCGCCACTCTCAACTCCCAGCTTCCCGGAATCCAGTTCATTGCAAGATCCATGTTTGGATCTCGGCCAGAGGTTCCCGACGAGGTGCTCGAGAAGACTTTTTTCTTGGACGAGCGTAGCATCAACCAAGTCCGATCCAACTTCGTATGAGATTTTGCCCCGTTTATAAAATTCTTTTCCTGGATTCTATCAAGAAAATAGCCAGAAAAGCAAAGAGCTATAACCTCTTCGCTAGAAAATTGCACATCTTTGCAAAAGCAAAAAGCTTCAGATCCAGTAAAGGTCCCATATAAATGGATAGATCGACCCTTCAGATGTTTTAATTTTAGACTTCATTCGGATACGAAGAAGTTGAGACACTTTCCCCTACAAACTTTATAATAAACACGAGTTTCCTGCAAATATCAACATTTCGCGGGTCCAGGCCCATGAAACTCTTCACTTTTGATCGCTTACTCTTCTTCTTTTGGAGCAGCATCAATGCCTTGCAAAACTTCTGCCGACCCTTCAGGCAGTAAGTAATACCATCCATTCCTTGCTGCTTCGGCTTTCCCATCCCAGAAATCCTAATTAGAGATTATCCAGGTACGACTCCGTCGCGCTCTCTTCAGCTTATGTATTGTTGTTGCAGGATATCGATGCAATGGCGAGTCAGAACAAGCATGAGGAAAGTGTAAGAGGAACTGTTTGATGTTCAGTGTTCAGACGATTATGCTCTGGCATGACGGCCAAAAGTGGAGGATACCATGGGAGCTGGTGGCTGATCCGAGTCTCGGCGGCGGCCTCGATCTCGCACCAGATACCGTCACCGACTGCCTTACCATCAGCTTGAGTGAGAATGAGTCCTAGAGGTTGGTGGTAGACAGCCTAGGAAAAGAAGAATTTCATTGCAAGGATTGAATCTTCTCCAGCGTCACCAAGCATCTTCCTGATGTCATAGGAGAAACAGCGGCTCACTGCCTTGAACTTTTGTACTCGTTCAACTGTCCCGGCGACCTCCCGACTCTGTGTAGTACAATGTCTCGTATCCCTTGTAACACAAAAGATGCGAGTCCACCTCTTCCAAACTGTCTTTCCAGAGCTCAACTGCATGAGCTCGAACGTCGTGGTCGTATTGTTACAAGCACATTACGTATACAGTCCCCCTGTACAGGTGGATCCCCAGTACTCGTCCGTTGGGCAAAGCTCGCTGTGGTCGGGTCACCTGCTTGCTTCGCTGGTATTATCCGCACGTATGAACATTGGAGGTTCGGAGCAAGATATTGGATACGTTACAACTTCCACTGAATAAAAATTAGTCATTGATGCTTTCAAAAGATACTTCGTTGGACGCTTGTTTGAATCTCATTGTCAATTGGGTGTCAATGGGTCACGAAGCTTAATGTATGCATACTTTACCTTGGTCATTGATCGTCATCGATCATTGAACGTTACCTTGGTCATCGATCATTGAACTTCGTAGCTGGTGAGAAATATGTTTTTAAAAGCAAAGTAAAATATATATTCCAGTTATTCAAAATGCGACTTTTACTTACTCTTCCCGCTGACCTTGACCAAAAATGTGATTGAAACTTCGTGTTCCAACATGGTGGCTCACTCGGCTTTCCAAATTAGTGTGTACGCGCAGCATCCAAGTACTATCACGTTTTCCAGGTATATATATCATTCAAGGCAATGGTTCTTCATCACAAATCCAGCGATCGACTCGTCTCCGATCAAAGATTTCATCCAGTTCTTCAACTATGGCTCTCTCCAAATCTCACGCTGTCTGGATTGCTTTGCTCGCATTCTTCGTGTGCGCAGTCGTTTCATCCGATCCAGATCCACTCCAGGACTTTTGCATCGGAGATCTCAACATTGTCCCCGGGATCAATGGATTCCCGTGCACGAACTCGTCCACAGTTACTGTGGACGATTTCATCTACAGCGGGATCGTCAACTCCTCCAACACCACAAACATCAATCGCTCTGGCGCCATCTTCGGGACCGTGCTGAGATTTCCAGGCCTCAACACTTTGGGTCTCTCCATCGCTAGGCTCGATTTTCTCCCGGAAGGGATCATCCCCCCACACACCCATCCCAGAGCCTCGGAGATGGTCTACGTAGAAGAAGGGACCGTCTACGCCGCCATCGTCACCGCGGACAATCGCCTGTTTGCCCGAGTGATGAACAGGGGAGAAGTCATGGTGATTCCTCGCGGATTAATCCACTGGCAGATGAACGTGGGAAGGACCAACGCGAAGATCATCGCCACTCTCAACTCCCAGCTTCCCGGAATCCAGTTCATTGCAAGATCCATGTTTGGATCCCGCCCAGAGGTGCCGGACGAGGTGCTCGAGAAGACTTTCTTCTTGGACGAGCGTAGCATTGACCAAGTCCGATCTAACTTTGTTTGAGATTTTATAAAACCTTGAGCAAGAACATTTTTCGTACGGAATAGTTAGTTGATAATATTAGTTTAGGGTTTAAGAACCTTTAACTAAACCCTTAAAGGAAGGCTGGAAAAGGAATGGTGCAGTGTCGGGAACCACACGAATATCGCAGCAAACTGCCAAGAACAAACAAAGACAAAAAGAAGAAAAAATTTTCGAGATTTGCGGCAATGTGTGGGGGAGATAAGCTGGGGATGGATTTTTTAATGATTTACGAACCTTTGAGAGATTGGATTGGAATCAATCAATCACACGAGAACTCCTTCTCTTATCATTTTTCTTTCCTTGGGCCGATTTTTTTGCCTTTGTTTCGTGTACTTGTTTATCCCCTTATCGGAGTGTTCCCAGCCAGTGCGCGAGACGACGGCGATGGCGAAGAAATAGAAAGAAAATCGCGCAAACAAGAAGAAGAACAAGAAGCTCCACTCACGAGGTAATATAAAAAGAGGTTTTTTTCAATCGCGAGTCCATGGATCGATGAGCGAGCCAGAAGAAATCGAGAAAGAAAAGGAGGGAATCGATTGATGAAGGCCTCCAAAAATCCTAGTGGAGGAGGAGGAGGAGGAGGAGCTCTCCTCCAAGAACTAGAAGCTCTGAGCCAAGCTCTGTACAAAGCCCAGATCGGCCAGGCGCCCACCACGAATCCAGCGCCAAGACGCGAATTTGATCAGATGGGTCACCGCCGGAGAGTGAGCGAGGCAGTGGGTCGTCCCCAGAAAGCTCCGCCCAATCCCTCCGCGCTGGAATCCAGGCACTCCATCTCCGACATTGGCCGCAAGAACACCACCGGCGATAAAGAACTGGACGAATCGTTAGCAGAGGAGGAAGAGATCGACGCGGCGAGGCTGGCCGGCGGGGGCAATCACAAGAAAGGCTTCTGGAATTGGAAGCCACTCCGCGCGCTCTCACACATCGGCCAGCAGCGATTCCCCTGCGAGTTCTCCGCCCACGTCCATTCCATCGACAAGCTCCCATCCTCCATGAATGGGCTTCGCCTCCAAGTCCAGCTCCGCCACCGCGACACTGGCGTCCAGACCATGCCCGCCAGGGCCTCGCACGGCAGCACCGAGTTCCAGGAGATCCTCCATTTTCGATGCACAGTCTATGGATCCAAGAGCAAGTCCTCCGGGACGATCAAGTACATGGCCAAGTCCTTCACGCTCTCGGTGGTGGCAATGGACGTGGAGGAGCTCGATCTTGGCAAGCACCAGCTCGACCTCAGCCGGATACTCCCATCGCAGGAATCCAGCGGCGCCGCCAAGCCCACCGCCACCACCGCCTGGAACACGAGCTTCAAACTCTCGGGCAAGGCCAAAGGGAGCTCTCTCTCGGTGACTTTCGGGTATGAGATCTTGGAGAGCGGTGGCGGTGGCAGCAAGATCATGGGAAGTAGCGGACGTTTCGGGCAGTCGCCAGCGATCCGGAGCGGCGGAGCGGTGTCGCGGTCGTTCAACAGCCTGCCGAATTCGCCGCACGGCTCCAAGTTCCACAAGAAGACGTCGAGCAGCGTCGCGGACTTTGGATCGCCGGCAGCGTCGGAGCCCGGGAACGAGCACGAGGATTTCGCTGGGATGGATCAGTTCAAGCTGGATGATCCGGAAGAGCCGCCGCCACCACGGCCGCAGGGACTTCCACCGCCACCGCCAACTTTCAAGGCCATTCCCGCCACCAGCGCCACTGCCAACACCACCACCCGGACGTCCATGGATGGAGTATTGAGCGATCATCGGCGCGGGAAGTCCTTGTTTCCGGAGATTGATGCGGCGATTGCTCCGGGGACTCCGGGACGGAGCCAAGAGCGCGAGGAAGAACAGCAGCAACATGCTGTGGAAGATGTGGAGCAACTGGACGATGCCGCGGAGTTTGGAGTTGTGGAGAAGGGCGTGGAGACGAGCGTGCTGGAGGAGTTTAGCGGGTCCATCGCACCGATGGATCGGAAGGAGAGTAGTGTTCCAGACGAGCCGAGAGAAGTGGAAGAACAGGAGCAGCAAGAGGATGAGCAACAGCAAAGCTTGGACTATAAGTTTGAGGAGGAAGACGACGAAGAAGAAAATGGTGCTACAAATGATCTCCAAGGACACCAAGTTGAGGAACAAGAATCCAAAGAAATCGATCGAGAGGGGGCGGCCGAGACCGTCGACCGGAAGAAAATCGACGAGGAGGCCGAGAACATGGATTGGAAGCAGCAGGACTACGACTGGAAGCAGGAGCTTGAGCGGGACTATCTGTTTGACAGCCTCAAGAATCCGGGCTGGGCAGCTCGCCAGGAATCGAAATCGATCAAGGTGGCGGATTATGACATCAAAGACAGAGCTGGAACGGATGAGAAGATGGTGGGCGATCACGACTACGACGATGAGATCGTCGCGGATGAGTTCCTGGATATGCTCCAAGAAGGTGGCGGCGATGGTGGCGGCGGTGGGAAAGAAGAGGAGGAAGAAGAAGAGTCGGAGTCTCCGCGAGCTCTACTGCTCAAGCAATTCGAGAAGGAATCCATGCTCGAAGGATTCGGCTTGGAGGACGATCAAGCGCCAAAGCTCCAAGAAGATCAAGAACACAAAGGTGGCCAAGCGGTCGAGCAAGCTCGAGCGCCAGTGGCCGAAAAGATCGTCCCGGAGGATTGGAGCTACAGCGACGACGATGACAAGGAGCTAGCATCGATCATGGACGCGGCCGAGTCGGAGCTCCAAAAGGCGACGCAAGCTTTTCGGAGCAAAGCTCGCGCGAAGATGCTCGAGGACGCCGAGGCCGAGGCGCTGCTCCAGGAGTGGGGTCTCGACGAGAAGATCTTCCACGGGTCGCCACCATCTTCTTCGTCTCTCAACCCGGAAGAACTGCAGTCTCTCGTGCCGAGATCCAAGCTCGCGGAGGAGCTGCCGGCGCTTGCTCCCGGGGTTGGATCCAGCGTTCCCACTGCCGATGGCGGGAGCTTGCGATCCATGGATCCGGCGCTGTTCGAGAGCAGTGTTGGCGAGAGGAAGAAGAACAATGGCAAGCTGGTGATGCACGTCTCCAAGCCGGTGGTGGTGCCGGCGGACATGGGAGCGAGCGCTATGGATGTTCTTCGCAACTTTGCGGCTGCGGGGAGCGAGAGCATGGCGGCGCAGGCCATGGAGGCGATGCCGCTCGAGGACATCACGGGCAAGAGCGTGGAGCAAATCGCGCTCGAGGGGCAAGTTTGCTTGGAGGAGAGCAATCGAAGGTATGGTTTTCCTCGTCCAAAGTAGTGTCTGCTTGCTCGCTTGATCGATGGTTCTTGGAGAGCTTGGTTTTGATCGTGGTTCTCTCTTTCTCGTGATAGTCTCGATACACCTTTTCTTTCTCGTGATATTCTTGATATTCTTCCACCACCTTTTCGTGATTTTCTTAAGTAGTTTACTCTTGTTTCACCACCGAGAATGATCTTGTTTTCACCGCTGAGAAAGCTTGCCAGAAGTAGTGATCTTTCCTTGACTCATTTGATCGATGGTTAATTCTCGCAGATATGATGCTGCGCTGCTCGAATCCAACCGCTTAGCTCTGGAAGATGGGAGCAGCAGCAAAGCTCTTGCGATCCCAGCCTCTTCCTCGGCACTTTATCAGCCTTCCAGGGCCAAGAAAGCGATCACTGCTCAACGATCGCGGGAGGCGGGAGAGTTCGTGTCACTGGACGAGCTCGCGCCGGTGGCCATGGAAAAGATTGAGCAGCTGGCAATGCAAGGACTCAAGATCCAGTGCGACATGGCGGACGAGGAAGCTCCATACTCGGTCGAGGCCTCCGCGAGCGTCCCGCTACTCAAGGGATCATCGTCAAGCTCGTCGCTGCTACTGGAAGCTCCATCCTCGGATGGGATGATCTCCATGTCTCTCTCGCTGGACGAGTGGATGCGACTGGACGCGGGACTGGACGATGACGAGGAGGCGAGCGAGAAGACGAGGGCGGTCATGGCGGCACACCGAGCAGCGCATGCGGATGAAGCGGCCACTACCGCGGACCTGGTGCTCAATCTTAGCGGCGATGGTGATGGCGGAGGTGGTGCTAGCGGCGGTGGTGGAAAGATGGGAAAGACTCTCACGCTCGCGATGCTCGTCCAGCTGAGAGATCCACTGAGGAACTTCGAGCCGGTTGGAGCACCGATGATGGCGCTGGTCGAGGCGGAGAGAGTGATGGTGTCGCCGCGGCCAAAGCTGTGGAAGCGAGTGGCGCTCAAAGGAAACAGTGAGCCGGAGCTGGAGGACGAGGAGGAATCAACAGCAAGAGCTATGGACGAGGAAGAAGACGATCGAGCAGCGGCGATGGAAGCCGAGCCACAGTTCAAGGTGACTGGCATCCACGTCGCGGGGCTGAGCTCCGCGGTGGACGAGCCCAGCTCCATGATCTCCTCTTCCTCCAGGAGTTCTTCCAAGAAGCAAGCTTGGGGGAGCCAGCGGCAGCAGCAATCCGGATCGCGCTGGCTGGTCGCGAATGGAATGGGGAAGAACCCGGGCGGCGCGATCAAGCATCCGCTGCTGCGATCGTCCAAATCCGCCGCCGCGAGCAAAGGCAAGGATCAATCTTCGTCGCTCTGGAGCGTCTCTTCGTCCTCTTCGTCGCCCGGCGTCTCCCGCAACCCAGACGTGAAGTTCGCGAAGCTTGGCGCCAAGAAAAGGTTTTAAATCTGCCGAATATGCTTGTATATTCTAGTTAAGTTAGTCTAATATAACTTTAAACCTTATATATTAATTAAACAAGGTTAAAGAAAGTTAAACCTAGAGAATATGCTGGTAAATTCTATTTTGCCTTTAAAGGTTTGCTAAGATAAAGGTAGTAGCTTTTAATATAAAGGAAGGGGGTTTTAGGGTTTATAGAAGCGATGAAGTATAGGAAATTGGGGAGCACGGGGCTGGAAGTGAGCGTTTTGGGATTTGGGGGATCGCCGCTGGGGAGTGTGTTTGGGCCGGTCAGCGAGGAATCGGCGGTGGAATGTGTTCACGAGGCGATTCGTCTGGGCGTCAATTTCTTTGACGTTTCTCCGTAAGTTTTCTCTGCGAGTCCATTCGATTCTTCTTCTGTTTGGCTGCGTGATCTTGTTGCGGTGGAATAGATCGTGAATTTCCTCCACCAAAAGAAGCTTTGTCATACAATTGGATTTTCGTTGCATGGCTTTCCTTTTGGAGAAATTCTCGAGCATGCATGGATAGAGGATTGAGTCTCTTTTTTTTTCTTTGCTTTAGGTACTACGGCAATACTCTCGCGGAGAAGAACTTGGGAAAAGCTCTCAAGGCGATTCCCAGGGAGAAGTTTATCCTCTCCACAAAGTGTGGAAGATATGGAGATGGCTTCGACTTTAACGCGCAGCGAGTGCTCAAGAGCGTCGACGAGAGCTTGGAGCGATTAAATCTCGACTACATTGACATCATCCAGTGCCATGACATCGAATTCGGCTCCCTCGATCAAGTAAGATACCTTTCTCTTTTTCTTTTTTCTTTTTCTTTTTGTAAAGTTTGATCTGGAACGATAAAACTCTACACAGGTGATATCCGAGACAATCCCAGCGCTACTTGGCTTGAAACGACAAGGAAAAGTCCGCTTCATTGGAATCACCGGGCTTCCACTGGCCATCTTTCGCTACGTTTTGGACAGAGTCGAGCCTGGAACAATCGACGTTGTTTTATCATATTGTCACTATTCCCTCAACGACTCTTCGCTCGAGGGTCTAGTTCCGTACCTCAAGGACAAGGGAGTCGGGATCATCACTGCTTCGCCACTCGCCATGGGACTGCTCACGGAGTCCGGTCCTCCAGTGTGGCATCCAGCGCAGATAGAAATCAAGGTACTCTAGAGTTACAAGTTCTTGTTGGAGCATTGAAGAAACTTTTCGATTTGTTTTTCTTTGTAGGAAGCCTGCGCCAAGGCTGCTACTCACTGCAAACTCAAGGGTCACAACATCTCTGAGATAGCATTGAAGTTCTCGCTCTCGAATCCAGACATTGCCACCACGCTGGTTGGAATGTGTTCTAGCCAGCAAGTCCACGACAACGTCAAAGCGGCGGAAGAGCTGGAGAGCGTGGATCAAAAGCTTCTGGACGAAGTGAAGGAGATCCTCGCTCCAGTGAAGAACAAAACTTGGCCGAGCGGAAAGCCAGAGAATAATTGAATTGGAAGGAACGCGTATCAATTACAACAATAAAGTTTGCTATGATAATAAGCACCGAATCTAGGAATATATATCCATCGTCACTATCTCTACGTCGGCGATTCCAGCGCGCGTTAGCGTTGTCTTTTACTTCGGAAGAGGTCGAGGCGAGGAACCTTGCGGCAGCTGTGGCACTTGCCATGCATGCTTGAAGGCGCTATGGCGGATGTTACTCCGGGCAGTGCAGCGGAAGATCAATGGGGCTGTTCTTGCTAGGACGATGAGGACGAGCTCATTTGCGTGTTTTGCCAGGGTGCGCTCGATCGCCCAGTGACGGTATGAGCAAGCTTTTTTCCTTTCTTTCTTCCTTTTCGTGAGTATCTCCGTTTTCTTTCTTCTGTAGACTCCGCTGAAGAAGTGGTTCGCCCGAAATGTGGAAAATGCCGCGTGAACTTCCATCAAAGTTTCATACAGCAGCCGAAGATCAACCCCTGAGAAGGGGGTTGATGTTTGGCTGCTGTATAAAACTTTGATGGATACACGTACCAGCCATTGGAATTGCGAAGATTGGAGCTACTACACCAGGCCGTCCATGTCCTTCAAAACCAGAACCGGGCCTGACAAGGCTTTCAAGAGCGAGAGAGCGAAAAAACCCGAGTTGGCCAGAACCACTTTGGAGAAATCACAGCGTAGAGAACCGAAGTGGTACTGGCCAACCTGAGCGGAGAGTGACGAAGGTGCCCCAATCAGTACTTAGTCATGTCAAGTGGTTACGAGGACGATAAGGACCATGGAGAATGAGAATGGTTTCTTTACACCGGGAGGTGAGATTGATCTGTTTGCATTTTTATTGACGCTTTCATTTTCGATGCAGTGGTGGCCGAGATTGAAGTGGGAACAAAAGAACAAATGATCAGCCAGCTAACGGATCTGAGAGCTTTGTTTTGATTTCGAAAACACTTGTTCGATGTCAAGTGTTTTCGAAATCGGACAAAGCTGTCTCCGTTGGTTGCTTGAAAGGCTATCCAATAAGTGTTGTGCAGTGAGTTAATGCGTTTTGCAGGTCGTCAAAAGACGTTCGTTCTGCTTACGCACCTCAAGAAGGCGGGCTTCAACTGTACAGAATTGAGAGATGCTGGCAAAAGATTGGTCTTTAAGGTAAGAATCCTGTTCACTCTTTGGGCATCAGTGTGCTTATTACTTGTTCGTCAGATGTGACAACGAACCAGTACCCTGGACAAAGGTGTGTGCGTCAATTCTATTGTGTACTTGCTCTGAAATTCGTGGTGATTATTAAGTGATCGGCCACGTCCACTTCTAGAGAAAATGCAAAGGATGTCAACGAAATAAAGGCGCAACTCGACTGCAAGGTGGAAATTGTGTTATTTTCTTTCCGTATGCTCTGACCCTTTATAGAAGTGTTAATCCTTTATAGAAGTGTCTCGATTAAAGACCAGTACGTGTTGATCTCGACTTGTTTAAATCATAGTGTTTACACAACAATGTGGGCTTTGCAAAAACGTATTGCAACGTACGCATTGCGGTTATATCAAGTTTTCATCAGGTCAACAAATGAAAACTGCCGGAAATGAAGAGTAATCAGGAATCTTGCATTGCCAATTACTAAACGTGATAAACAATAGCTTGTTAATTAATAACAGGTCAGATATACTAGGATATGCTAATCTATCAAAACTGAGCATAAGCTGTTTAGAGAAATAAAACCTTTACAACGTATAGAATCTTTGGCGATTTATAGTCTCGCAAGATTGGCAAGACTGTCTCGACGCTCTCCCTCTCTCTCTCTCGCTCTCTCTCGTTTCTCGCTCTCGTCCATCCGGCCGAGGAAGACGAAGAAGAAGAAGAAGCTCATCTCGTTCCCATCATCCGAGCTCGACCAAAATTCTTTTTCTTCCTCACGCCGCGGCCTCCTTCACGTAGTTTTGAAACGTCCGGATCTCTCCTGTCAAGCTCGCCGTCACTATGACCAGCCCCAGCCCCGCGGACGAGAAATCGGCCCCCTCCTCGTCGACGCTCGTCACATCGCTCCTCTCCTCGGCCCCGGTGGCCGCGCTTACCACCGCCGAGTGACCATCCTCGCCACCTTCCTGGTTGGACGCCAGCGTTGCCGAGTCCATCAACCTGGTGGAGCCATCGTCGGCGACCGGGAACACCGTCGAGGTGAGGCACTCGAAGCACGGCCCCGGGAAGCTGCTCTGCTTGAGCAACTGGAAGATGCCGTCTAGAGCACCCCGGCGATCGCTCGCGTTCTTGCCTTCGCTCTCCGTCGACCAGGGGACCGCAACCGTGACGCTGTCCGAGAAGAAGCTCTCGCACGACTTCTCGCTGATCTTGAGCTGGCCCCTACAAGTGGAGGTGGGAGGTGTCACGTTCCACAGGTAGACATGTGAATCTTCACTGGCGCTGATGATAAAGCTGCCGTTTCGGTTGAATGACGCAGAGATTTGACTGCTCATGTTGCGGAATCCTTGGAAGAATAAACAAAACATAAGACCGTGTCAATCAACAGGTGTTGAATCTCTTTTGCTTTCCTATGACGCACCTTTAAATCTCGCGACGAGGTCCGTGTTGTCATACAGACGGATTTGGGAATCGTTTGAGGTGATGAGTATTTTAGACGGATTTCCTGGCATACACTGTGGAAATGCAAAGAACGGATCAGAACTGTTGGGCTCTTATTTAAGATTTCATTCTTTACCGAACCTGAATGCCAGTGATCTTCTTGCCACGGAAATTCTTTCCCTTCTTATTCACCACATCCACGTTCGCGTAGAGCTGCAGTTTGTTGCCTGAAACGAAAAGGAGAGCTTTAAAAAACCGACACTGGAACCGACTACGAGTAAAATACGGACCACTGGTATCGTAGAACCGGCAAGTTCCTTTGTACAGGCCTATCATCGCGCACTACATGGGAAGATTCGTTAGCACGCCGACTCATAGAAAACCCGAGGTGTGAAAAGAATACCGTGCCATCTGGAGTGTAAGATGCCGCCGTTACTATGTCACGCAAGTCTGTCCAATCGATGACTTGATGCTCTATGATGCTCCATATGCGCGCCTTTCCGTCCAGTGAACCACTGAGGAAACAGGTATCATCGACGGGATTGAAGGCAATGCATGTCACTACCTCGCAAAACAAAACGAAAGGCTATAGCGTGATTACAAGTCACTAATTCTCAGTATGCCGGCAAGCATTTTAAGGAAAAAAAAAGAGATAAATGCAAGCGTTTGCAAGCAACTCGGTCCTTACCATAGTCCTTGTGCAAGAAGACGTGTAGGCACGTTTGGTTCCGGACGTCCCACAGTCTCACGGTCTTGTCCATGGAGGACGACAACAAGAGAAGCTGAAACCAAAGAAAAGAAAAGAAAACCAGAGGTTAGGCAGCTAAAGATAAAGAGAACCAGGGGTACCTTGGAAGACGACCACGACAAATCCAAAATATCTTCTGTGTGGCCATGGAGACTGCACAGCGGCTCACCGTCGAGCCCGAAAGCTTTCAAGCCAGCTTTATCGTCGCTCGTCTTTGACGAGCCTCGCTTTTTCTGATGTGGTGGCTTCCTAACCTCGTGAGTCCCCCCATCCGCTGCGCTAGCGGCGACTTGATTGCTCGATAAAACAATCTTCCACACCCGGACAACGCAGTCCTGCCCGCCACTTGCGAGGTACCGTCCGCCGGTACTGAACTTGAGAGCCCAAATCGGACCTTGGTGAGCATGAATCTCCTGTCCCATGTACAATTCCGCCAACTCTCTTACAGCTTTCTTGCACACGCGCACCTTAATTCTCTGCATTTTCCATGGTCTTCTCGCATCAGACCTTGGCTGAGTAGTGGACACGTCGTCTTTCTCTGCTGCAGCACTGGGAGTGCTTGACCGCCTCATGAAACCGCTAAACCATCTCTTCTTCTTGGGCTTCCCATTCAGCGGCAAATACGAAGAAGACGATGAAGAAGACGAAGAAGTCCCTGGTTTTTTCCTGTTCTCCCTGTCGACCCTCCTCATTTCCTGTACAATTGGAGAGAGTCCCAGAGAACTATCAAACTCCTCTCGCGACAGCTCCCTCCCCGTCCCAACCTCTCTAACTCTGTTCCACGACCCATCCGATCCGAGCTCCTCGACTATAAACTCCTTGCCGCTGTCCAGATCCTTTATCCTATACACGAACTCCCTGCCACTGCTGTTGGTATAGCTTTGACCATCTACATTGGCGTCGGTAGACCTTCCATCCGCGAGAATTGGGCTGCCGGGGCTGACCAAATCCCCATTTCTGGCATCTTCGTCCCTGGAGCTCTCGTAGCCGTCGCTAGAGCGAAGACGATCCAGATCCACGGACTCTCCCCTCAAATGCTCTCCTCCCGAGAGGGGATCCGAGATGCTGCGGAAGACCCGAGGCGTGGAGGCTGTCGACGGAGGGAAGGAATGGCTGGAGGTGAGGAAAGAGGGCTCCCTGCTGCCAAAGAAATCCTCCAGCCCCATTCTCTGGAGCAATCTCACCCTACGCTCCCCGACGCTGGCCGGATCGCTCCTCCACACCGCATATTTCGAGTCGCCGGAAGGGAATGCGGCGAAATCCTGGCGCTTGCCGCGCTGCCGCAGCTTGAATCTAGCAAGACGCTCACCATCGCTGCTGCCACCGCTATCGGAGCCCGAGGTGGTCGCGATTTCTTCGAGAGTCTCGAAGAATTCCTCCTCCTGCCCCTCGCCGTCGGAGCTCGCGGCGTCCGGAGCTTCTCCCTCCGCCATAGCTGCTGCATCTACCGGCGTGCCATCGCCATCGTCTTCTCCGTCCTAGAAACCTAACCTAACCACGGTAGTTTAGGCGTTAACTACGGTCCAGGGGCCTTGACGTGGCGCCAAACAACCGCACGTCACCGACAAGGCCGAGCTGTGATTTGCTTAAAAGAAAGCGATTTATCTCGTCTTTAATCCTCTCTCTCTCTCTCTCTCTCTCTCTATTTAGCGATCGATTCCACTGTTCTCTTAGGAATTCCTGGCGGCATTCACCAGCTCTAGAGTGGAAAGCGATGGAATTTTGCTTGGAGCTTTTCAACGATCCATGGCCCAGCGCATTCAAATCAGAGCGCTCAGATGGTTTGGATTGTCTCTAGCAGCAAAATTTCGCTGGAAATAGGCCAAATTGACCAAGCACCTGGTGGAATCCGGCAATGGAAGCGACTGGCTCGCCGTGCCGATCTTTCACTTTTTTGCCCCAAATTTAAAATCCAAAATGCGCGCGAAACTTTTTCTAGGGTTAGGGTTTACCGCCGCGCAGATGAAGCTCAAGCAGCTAGAGAGCGAGCTCGGCCATCTCGTCCAGTTCCAGTCTCCAAAGGTATGGCGCTCTTGCGGCGCTCAATGCGCTCACTCGAATCTGGATTCTGGTCGCGCAGATCGAGCTGGAGCAATACCCGACTGGCGCGCACATCGCTTCTCGGATGATGTACATGGTCTCTCAAATCCTTTTTTCCTCCGTGAGCGTGACGAATTCCTTCTTTTGCCAGGCTGAATCCAACTTTGGTGATATTTGTGGGAAATCCATCGCTGATCTTGGCTGTGGCTGTGGAACGCTCGGTGTGGCTGCGTCTTTGCTCGGGGCGAGGTACACATTTCTTTTCTCGTTTCTTTCCTGGACGTTTTCTTTTCTTCTTTCTGTAGTTACGTGATTGGTTTCGATCAAGACCTCGCGGCTTTAGACACTGCCCAAGAAAACTGCCGGGACCTTGAGGTATGTAAGCTTGTAACTTCGTAACTTCACAACTAGTTCTTGGTCTTCTTTCTTTTTTCTTGTTATTCTTCTGCACCTTTTCTTTTTTTAATTTTGTAAGTAACTCGTGGCTCTTTTTTCTTCGATCAGATCGACATGGATTTCGTGCAGTGTGATGTCAAGAGTCTTGGTTTGACGCGTAAGTGCTTACCGACGTCATATAGATGTTACACTTCTCATTACAGGAATCAGTGTAGACACAGTCGTAATGAATCCTCCGTTTGGCACTAGAAGGAAGGGAGCTGACATGGAGTTCTTGTCTGTAGCTCTGAAGGTACTGTGAGCTCCTTTTTTCCTCGGTTGTGATGCTATATGTTGTTTCAGATCGCACGGACTGCCATCTACTCTTTACACAAAAGCTCTACAAGACAGGTTCTTCAAACCCAAGTTTTGACGAATACTGAAATGACTTTCCTGGTGGCAGCATGTGAAACGAGCAGCTCTGCAGGACCTCGGGGCTAAAACTGCAGAAGTCTTGTTCGAGGTAGAGTTATTTCAGTGCATTCACCTAGTTCTGATGACTAGTTCTTTGTTGCAGTTGAGATTTGACTTGAAATCTTTGTACAAATTCCACAAGAAACAAGAGCTGGACATCGCTGTAGATTTGTGGCGATTTACCGTTTAGCGCACAAATCCTGCTAAGATTTTACAAGGTAAAGCATTGTTCCTGGTCGCAAAAAAGACTGACTAGATTACTCTCGCAGGACATTGCTGATATATAATTTCTTTTCTGTGCTTACTGTAGCGTCAGAGGTAGGGTTATGGGGAAAGCGTTGATGATCGCGGTGGACGACTCTGAATCGAGTGCCTATGCTGTCAAGTTCACCCTGGAGAACTTGGCTTCAAGCGACGATGCGATCACTCTAGTTCATGTTCGCTCGGAGGTAGATGGTAGGGAGTTTCTTTTTTTCTTTTGTTCTTGTGATATGATCTTCGTTGTCTTCTATTCTAGTTGAGGGATTTTATGGAACACCGGATTGGGTTGCCGAAATGAATCAGAAGTTTGAAGAGCGAGCTCGTGGTATTCTCTCCAACATGAAGGAAATTGTGGATGGGCATAAGGTACTTTGTGACAAGCTTT